CTTAGTGCAGGTGGAACAGTCTTAATTAAATATACAGAAACTTTGTATACTTCAAAAGAGGAGAGAAGGTTGCCATTTGTCTCTTGCACCATTCTATGCCTATGGTTCTAAATTGACACGAGTTTTGTTCCAGCTAGTAGCTGTAAGCAGAGGATTTCCCTTTAATTTTAGATGGAAATGGAATGTGCCATTCTTGTCTCACCCACACTGAAATACGTGTTCGTGCTTGGGCAGGAAGAGCCATAGAAGGCTGCCCAGAAGGGAAGTGGAAGGCAAAACCTTTCCTTACTTTTTTAAGACTGAACAGCTAAATACTTGTGTGTTAAACACCATGGCAGCGAGATGCATGGAACAACATTCCTCTTCAGGTATCATTTTACTAGCTTACTTGCTGCTAGATCCAACAGTTGCTCCAATACCAGTCACAGAACATCTGAAGTCTACCACTATGAAAGTTGCTGCCATGCTGTCATTAGCGATGTAATGTCTGAAGAGCCTGGTTGTTGTTTTTTGGCAGGTTTAGCTATCACACAACTAAGGGGTGCATCCAGATTGTACAATGTTCCTAGGCATACGTCCTGGCTTTAAAACTCCGTGTCTGAGCATTGCTGAGGTTTTTTTGGTCCCAGAGCTTTCCCCAGGAAAACCCACGTTTTACCATTGAATCACAGCAAATGGCAGTTGGGTTTTCTGCGGGATAGCCATTTACTCCAATTCAGCAGTAAAACAAAGGTTTTCTGGGGAAAGTTCCAAGACAAAAAACAGCAGCAGCCTGCTCGAACACGGAGCTTTACAGTGGGGGACCTGTGTCTGAAAAGTACAGAAGCAAAAGGAAGTATGGATGAGCTGCAAGAGAAGTATGGCAAGCACTAAATTATGCCAGAGCACCATGCAATAGCTCAGCTTCCCATGCAACAATCCACGACTGAGTCTGACCAATGTCAGTTTAAAAGTTCACCTGCAAGTCAACTCCACAGAGCAAAAACAAAAATACTTAAATATTCAACCTTACAAGGCCACTTCAACTACAACACTAACAGCACCAAGCCTTTATCCAACAGTAAAAGACAAACTCTTAATTTATAAAGTAGCCTTTAGAATCTTCTTCCTTTCCTTAAGTCTGGACATTAATTCTGTGCCAGTGCCGTGTGAAGATTGCACAGTCATAAAGAAGATGAAAAAATGCACACTTGCCTCTTCTCTTCAGGCAGGTTATGATTTAGTGCTGAAATCGAAGTGAATGAACCATGAAATACTGAGAAAGAATAATGGAGAGTGATCTATATTTAGCACATAAGTGTGAAGTCTCCAGGCAAATTGGAGTGGTCTGAACAGCCTAGGAAACCTGACCAAGGGCTAAACTAATCATGAAAGGCATTAAAAAGAGCATGTTGAGGGTAATACTAAAAACAAAACAAAACAAAACTCAGTACATAAAACATCAGAACAAAGTGTAAGTAAGCTTGCTCAACATTAGATCAATCAAAGAGTCCTAATTAGCATTTGAAACTCTGTGGTATATTAAGCAGGGATGCTCTTACGATAGAAGTCAAATATCCTTTAACGCATATTTGAACACACCAAGATCTGCAGTGCAAATCCCAGGAACAAATTTTATTATGGCTAGATTCATAAGATGTTTCAGAAGGTAACTCTTTCCCCTACTGATGGGATGAGGCTGGGTGCCTTTCATCACAGACTAATTTTAGATTTTCTCTCAGTCCTTTTGCTGCTGTGCTCAGAGTGGGAGCTTCTCCTGGAAATGACTTCAAATGCTTTTCTTGAATTCTTGGACTCAAACAAGAGCCAGATCTCTCAAGCTTGCACCAGAAGCAAAAGCTCCTTATTGGAAACACAAGCAGTGTTTTGAAATTTTTAAGTAGATCATCTGTTTAAGCTTGAACTGTTATTTGCTTCTCAGAATAACTTCTACCTATCTGAACACTCCCACTGTCACACAGAGAAATCTTTGAAGTAATAATATAATGCTGATATTGTTACTGCATTAACATTAAAGACACAACAACCATAGATCAGACCAAACAACATATAGCTATTTGCAATAGTTCTCTTATGGCTATTATATCAAAAACTATTGGGGCACAATCCTATGGTCCCCCAGGAAGGTGTTCCAGGGATTATGGGTTTTTCAGATCCCCCTCTCTGATGTTGGGGAGAGATATGTCTACCCTCGAGAGGGAGATTTGATCTCCTGGCTATGGAAAGATAATACTGAGAAGTATATGAAGGGAAATGTCCCCATCTTTCTCTTATGTGCATCACTGAGCTTTTAAGAGGGAACAAGAACTGAAGCAGATTTGAAGCCCTTCTCTGGCAAAACCCAGCGCCAAATCATCCACTCTCATTAGCTTCCACTAGAAAGATTCTAATTTGGAATATTATGCTTTTCTTTTCTCAATTTTTTTTTAAAACATTGATCCATCAGTTAATGCAGACATACCACTTTAATTGTAGTTTGCCTTACAAAAGAACATAAGAGTCTGCCGGTTGGGATGCTTGATTCCACTGCCAATGAAAACTACACATTCCTGAGTAAACAGCTCATTCAGAGTTTTGCAGATGTAGTGATCACTTTGGCCCTCAAGTATTTTATAACTTCTGGTGGTAGCTGAGATGTATGTAAGGGGATGAGCTATTGCTCAGAGGTACAAGCATTTGGTTTGCATGCAGATGGTCCCAATTCCAGAGGTCTTTAGCGGAAAATATTTCATGTGTCAGGGTTGATGAGGAATTCTGCCCAAGGATTTATCAATCTAATTTATATCCTACCCTGTTCCCCAAAGGACCACCGGGTGCCACACAACAAATGATAAAACAAAAAAATCATTATGAAAACAAATCTGTTACAGATGCAAACTGGGAAGCATACTAACTTAAAATACTTGTTGAAAGAGGACAGTCTTCAGTAGGTGCTGGAAAGACAACAGAGATGGTGCCTGTCTAAATATTCAAGGGGAGGGAATTCCAAACAGTAGGTGCCACAACACTAAAGGACTGATTCCTACATGTGCTGAACAGACTTCCTGATAAGATGGAATGTGCAGGCAGTCCTCACCTGTACCAGCCAATGATCAATTGAGCATACAAGGAGGGAAATGATCTTGTAGGTGTCCTGATCCTGAGGTATACAGAGCTATACACACTAAAACCACCATCTTGAGCTTGGCCCAGTAGCCAATTGGCAGCCACTGCAATTATTTCAACAGTAGAGTAATGTGTTAGTGATATCCTGTCCCTGTAAGTGGTAGAACCACTGCATTTTGCATTAGCTGCAGCTTCCAGACCAGCCTAAAGGGCAGCCTCACATGGAGAGAATTGCAACGATACAGTCTGGAGATTACCAGAACTTGGACAATGCTGCTCAGGCTATTCAGGTCCAGACATGGCCATAACTGACTGACCAACCAAAGTTGGTAGAAGGCACTCCTAGCCAATGAGGTCAGCTGAGCAGCTGGCAACGATGATGAATCCAGGAGCACCTCTAGACGATGAACATGCTATTCGACCCCATCCACAGAAGACAATGAACATGCTATTCGACCCCATCCACAGCACGACCCCATCCACAGAAGGCAATCTGGGCTCAGGAACCACCCACCCACAGCACCTCCGTCTTGTCAGAATTCAGTGTTTATTCCCCACAAACAGCCCACCACCGAGTCCAGGGCTTGAATGGCCTCTCCTGATTCAGATGTTACAGAGGAGTAGAGTTGGGCATCATCAGTGTACCTTGACCCAAATAACCTAATGACTTGAGCAATCTTTTGTCAAACAAAGCTCAATGGTCCGACAGTGTGAGTCAGTAGAAGACTGTTTTAGAAAGTATAGCCGATATTGTTCTGTAGCCAATGCATTTTTAAAAACATTTTCTTAAATTTGTAATTATGGTCAACAAACCACTGCCAGCTGCACTTACTTGATTCTGAACTGTGATACAATAGCCAAGACATCTATAGTTAGGACATTTGGAAAAATAAGAGCCATGAAATAAAGCAATGACAGGCAGTTATGCCCCTTATTTACAAAACCGCCTACAAGAGCTAGTTAGATAACATGTACCATCAATAATGCAGCATGCAGAATTCATGCTGCTTGCTGAATGAGTTATTTGATTATTTTGACCCAGTTTAGCTCTGTATAAAAGATCAGTCTCTAGTGTACATAATAAATAATCAAGAGTCTTGCGGTACCTTGAAGACTGAGATATTTATTGTGCCATAAGCTTTCATGTAGTAAAGTCCACTTCATCAAACAAAATGTTATTCTCAGTTAAAAGGCATGTGTGTGCATGTGTGTGCATATGCACAAACACTGGACAGAAATGAAAAAATGTGTACATCACAACTCCCTTGAGAAAGGTCACTTAAGTGTCAAGACTCAGCCGCCTTACTTGAGCTATCTGCTGAGCAGAAGAAAGATTCACACACACAATTTTCAGTTTCCTTAAAGCCATGAACAAAAGAAATCCATATAAACAAAAAAGTCTGAGCCAGGGGCAAAAAGGATCTATACTATTTGTAAGAACAGATTTCCAATACATTCATGAGATTCATAATAAGCCTTGGAACGACAGCAGCAGCAACCAAAACCTGCCAAACATCCGCCACTAAAATGAGCATATAATAAAAAATGCAACTACAGATAAAGATAGCTCAATGGCTACCTGGATGGAAAGTTCTGTGCTGACAGAAGCAACAGTTTGCTGCTGTGGAATGGCTTGATTTATTGAGGTAATCATTCCCTGTGTACTGCCAGTCACTTATAGAGAGGTAGCAGCATAGCACACACTAAAAGATACCATAAAAAGATAACTACAAGAAATAAAAGTGAAAAGGAAAGGAAAGTGCTACCTTTCCTTTTGTCTGCAATATGTTTCTTGGACAAATGTTTCACACACCATCCATATTTACTAGCTCAATTTTTCCAATAACAACAAGCAGAAGTTTAAACGAACCAGACAAGGGCAAAAGGTGTCTTACCATGCACGTATCTAGGTCTTCCAAACGTTCGATTTCAGTTAGCTCCTCAACTGTGATGATGGAACGTTTCGCAGGTTTTTCCTCTGCTAGTTCAATATCTAACGATTCCTGACTTGGAAGGGGCTTGCCTCGCCGGGTCAAATGATCAGCCTAGAGGAAAGGTTGAAACAGGAGAAAGTGCTCTTAGTAAAAATGAAACACTGGTAAAAAAAAAAAAGGTTGGTGCAAATGCTGCCAAAGAGCAAGAGTCGACTCAAGAGCCCTTCACAGAGCAACTCCTCCCAGAATTGGACAGGGCCTTGTAGCATATCTAGTTCACACCCACCTCCATGCAGGAAATCCAGAACTAGAGCATCTCCCAGAGATGACTGTCTGGTCTCTGCTATAAGAGCCCATTATCCCTCCAGGTAATTGGTTCCTTGCCAAACAGCTCTTAATCTCAGGATGTTTCTCCTTATGTTCACCAGAATCTACCCTCCTACAACTAAAGCCCATTATATTTAGTCCTGCTCGCTCTCTCTGCAACAGGAGAACTTTGTCCTCTTCCAAACAACATTCTTCAAGTATCTGGTTTTCCTACATTCTAGTCAAAGATCTGAACTCTTGAGCAACAATTCTCTGACTATATAACAGAGATTACAGAGGGTTGAGGATGTATGCCACATGACAAGCCTGTTTTTAAATGCATATCCAGTTGAGTCTTTGTCCCCTTCGTCCTCATTCACATTGCTACCTTACTAGTATCAATGTACACAGTATTATACAGATATTTTGTCCATTATGGGTGTTAGGGACACTGTGGTCTTCATTTGTGTAACTACAACGTGTTACACAATCCTAATTTGCAATTATAAATTGATTTCTTACCTGTCCTTCACCCTAACATTGTTGGGTGGATTATAATGAAAAAATATGATATTAAAGAACAGTTTGAAGCAAAACAGATGGGTATATATTTGGAAGCTACAGTGCAGGTGAGTGCAATGTAACAGGCAAATCATGCTGAGCTGTTATAAATATCTTGAAATACTCAGATCTGTGTCAGCACTCACCAGTTTATGATGGCAATGTGACAGTGCGTCAAGGATCTCATCTACGATTCGGTCTGAGAGAAATGAGGCCACTGTCAACTTCACTTCACTGTGTGAAAGTTGAGAATAAGAAAATGAAAGCTTAATTCACACAAGAGTTTCCGTTATTCTTTACACTACTGGCTGTATGATGTAAAAGTTACAAAGATCTCAAAATTTCTCCAAGGAGAAATGTATGAATGTATATGTAGAAACAGAGGACATTTAATAATTATTATTAATATTCTGAAAATACACAAAATGCCACACACTCTTTCAGCAAATATTATGAATTATTTCTATCACAAAGAACCAGATGTATTTCTACCTTGTTCCTATCCATCCATTTGCAAAAAAATAAAAATAAGAATAATTTATTCCTTCCTTCTGTGATACCAATCAGACCATTATATGGTTGTAAATTGCACTTATTAGAGTGCAATGTGACAACAACTTCAACAGAAGTATTTGTACTACAAGGCTGGAACTTCTGAAGTGTTATGTTGATGTTGTCTCAGGGTCCATTTCAAAGATCTGGCACTCTATACAGATGGGGTGCCTCAAATAAACCACACAACAACCAATGTTGATACATGACATAGTTCATGCAATTGTGCCACTGCAGAATGTGACATCAGTTCAAATGCATGTGTGCCATTGGTTTGTACCAAGCTGCAAAATGTGAGAACAGAATAGGAACATATGCCCTAGAGCATCGTATGGCACTGCTGAGCCATGGATGCTTAACAGCTATGTGCAAGTCTTATAGTATTTAGGGGAGCACAGTCAGGCTGCCCTGGTTTCCTTGCAAGGTTGCTATAACATCTGCAGTGGTCCTGACCATTGTATCAATAGAATTAGATTGTAAACTTTTTTTAAAAAAGCTGATGAATTTGCAATTTTGTCACAACTTATCTCAGGGCTTTGCTTTTGTATTAAACAAGATATAAAAGAGAGGCTAATTGGTGTAGTAAATAAACCAGGTTACATAGAGTACATGGACAGGAAATCAATATTTATTTTGCTGATTTGTACTCTGTAGAGGTTTTATAGGAAACATTTCCTTTCCAAACTGTGTTCATCATCATTTTTATTTGTGAAAAGGTGTATCTGGAGTAGAGATTCTAGGGGATTTCATTCAGTCTGCATTTAAGGTACCGGCCTGAGTTGCATTTGCCAATATACAGACTGGAATGCATTATCTTTTGATTTTCACACTTCTCTGAAGTTTATGATATAGCTCTCAGCTAAAAAATAAAGGAAAAAATGCCTTCAAAAATAATGTGGAATTATTTTTTTGCAGTTTTTTTTCAAATTTCAATGCTGATGTGGACTCAGAATGAAAGGGACATATAAAAGAGCATGTGTAAAATTGACACAGACCGTAAATAGATGGTTCTACCCATCCCTAATCTGGAAGCCCCCGCCTCAATGGTGATAGCCAACAATTCTCAAGAGATCAAACTAATGAATCATATTTAAAAATCAAATAATGAAATTAATTGTATTCTACATTAACTGTGGTACCATAGCCTGAACTTCAATTTCTATACGTGTTTTATAAGACCTTAGTTCTGTGTCAACAAAACATTCTAATCAGAAAATAAAGTTGGACATGCAAGAAACCAGTATGTCATGTTCTGGACCATGAGATGAGCCATCAAACACTTGGACATCCAGGACATAAGTGTTTGACTTAAGGGAGGTAGAAACAAACTAAGTCTAGAACTGCTGGTATTCCCCATTTGCTGTTGCAGGGACAGGTAGATGTCTGTTTTTAACAATGTACAATTTAAATATGTGCCACTGAATCCATAGACGAATCGATAAATCATACCGACTTACCTAATTTTATTACGAATGTCAATGCCAGACTGCTCCAAGAGAACGTTTTTAACAAATGTCCGTGGAATGGAAATCTTTTCAGTGCCTGACTCAATCAGATCTTGCCTTATGTGCGCTTTCTTCATTGCACTTGGACAGAGATTTTCTGCTGCATCAACCATAGACTCAAGCAGTGTCTGTTGCACAAAGTGAAGGAAGGCAAACTTTTTCAAGAAACCATCTGAAATATTGCATGTGCTGCTTTAATGCTAAGGCCTGGTGATGTGCAACTCGCAAATTATTAAGACTCATCAAATTAAGTGCCAGCTCCTACAGACACTTTCTTCTACCATGCAGTTTATCCCTAGGCAGATTCATATGAGAACATCTTTTGAAATTACCCAACATATTTCCAGCATGAATTGTGATACCAGCTCTAGATAACTTCAAGTTTGTGTGTTGGCAGCAGCTGAATAAGATCTACACAAATCTTAGTAAGAATTGATTACAAAAATGAACAAAAAGGAGCAGCAGCAATGTTTTTAATTGAATATAAAATACAGAAGAGGAAATGATATTTAATCAACACTGATCTGCTACCCACTAGACTTATGAATGCTAATTCAGTTGCTTCAGTATTAAAGGGATAGTAGCGTAAGTATAGACCTCTATACCATTACCTATAGCAAATAGTGACCTGTCTTAATTTTTTTAACAGCTGTCTACAATAAGGAATTTGAGTTTAAGCAGAATGCACTGCAGTCTTAAGCAGCCAGACATTGCTCTCTTACATGAAAGATCTCAATAAAAATCTGAACAGTGGCTTTGTTTCTAATAATTCCAAGATCTTAACCCCCCCAAAAAAAACCCCATCATCAAAGCCTGATCAAATAATGAGCAATGACAGTACAGTGGGATTGAGCACATCTATGAAGTTTGCAGATCAGATTACTTGAAACTGACTTTGGTAAAATGGAAGTTGGAAGAGAAACTGAAATACTTTGGATGCCAAAAGTAATTCTGAATTTACAAAAAAAAAGAAAAGTGGTTAGGTTTTTCTAATAAAACAACTTTATAGATAAACATAATGGTGGCACTTTAAAAATTAAAAAGGGTCAAGCAGCCAGCCCGAAGAAGCAGGGTGATGGGGTGGTTTGAGTAGCAAGACTGACAGCAGAGCCAGGATTTGATTCACTGGGATAAATGTCTGTCATTTCAGTTGTGCAGTCAGAAGAAAGCTGAACTCACACACCCTAGCAGAACCACTAGGAGATCCTAGTTTTGCAACTGTAGCTTTTGGCATTATCCCACATACTAGGCTTGGATGAAAGGCTTGCTCTCAAAGGGTTATTTCTTCGGTGCTGCATTGGCTAGGATTTCATCAAGTTATACATGGTCTACTTTGGTGGGGGGAGGCTGGAAAAGAAGGTCTTTCCAACTCTATGGCCATGTTCAGACAATGAACAAGTTGGGGGTTTTTTTGCCAGTGCACACCTTCTCTTTGCTCCTTCGTTCGTGGCACCAGCAATCAAACCAGAACACTTCCAATTAGCTACAGTTTCCTGGTTTGGGCAAAATGGGAAACTGTGGTTTACTTGCTTTGGAAAAAGCCAGAATATTAAGGTGACATCAAACTGTGGCTACCCTGCCTTGTTCTGAAGAGATAAGCATAAAATGGGATTTCCAAGCCCTACAACATAGGAAAGGGCTGCATGCCTGGAAGCCTTAAATCCTGGGAACTTGTGGGAAGATTTAAGTTTGTCCCTTCAAATACTTCGGCACTCTGGGGATGTGAATCAGTACTTTAAATTGTAACATTTTCTTCCTCATTAACTCCTCTAATTTAGATTTTTTTTTTATAGCGAAGTGGTGTTTCTATAGTTCTTCATTACCTTCCCACTGACTGAGGCATTTTCTTTTTTTGCTTCTTATGAGCAGAAGTCCAATCTGTAGCTTTAGAGCTGCTACTAAGTTCTCAAATACACTAACACAACAAGCAGTTGGAAGCAGAAGCCATTGCAGGAGAAATTCTAACACTCTATGTGTGATGATTATGTTTCCCCACAGATAACCCTGACGGTGACAAATTTCCACTGAATTTTAGGCATTGCTTTTTCCACAACGGAATAGATGCTGCTTACCTTCTCCTACTAATACCTCCAAGGGCTGATTGCAACAACTAACATAATGCCACTGGGCATTATGATTCCCTTTTAATATGGCATGATACATTCTCCCTAACTTAGTTTTATTCCAATTATTACTACTGTTGTTGGATTTTCTTTTAGGCAGTGAAATAAATTACAGCAGGGGTGGGGAAACTTTGGACCATGTGCACGCCGGGTCGTTTGTGGAAAGTCACGGCAACCTGCTCTACATACAAGACGGCAGGTAGGTATGGGTAAGACTTCAAAGGAACAATTGAGAACTTGAAGTAAAGTCCTGATTGTTCCTTTGCTGGAGCACAGCACACTCCCACTCGCAATGGAAACTGCTTCTCCTTCCTTACACTTCTCTTTGAACCTCCAAAAACTGGAGGTTCCCTTTCCAAAACAGTTTTGAACTGCTCTTAAAACTTCATGTTTTCTGAAGTTTAAGGAGCCACACAGGACTGTTTGCAAAAGGGCTTTCAAGCAGCCCTGTGCTGAAATTTGAAAAATCCTGAAAATCAGGGCATCAAAGCGCAGCATCACCTGATGTCACTCTGACGTCAGGTGATTGACAGGTGGGTGCTTTCAGCCTGCCATGAACCACCATTTCCAGCAACAGCAGCAGATATGTTCTATGCTTAAGATGACTTTTTATTCCCTTGTTAATTATGCTGTTTTAAATATGCATTTTATATTTGACTTCCTTCAGCAATGTTTTCTTCTGAAACTTTTTTTGTTAACGTTATATGTGCATTCTGTTAGCTGACATACCTTGTACTGTTTTATTTTATTTCTTATTTTAATTCTTTAAGGTAACATTTTCATTTCCGGTTAATTATGTTGCTTTGACTGTATACTTTATATCTGACTTCCTTCAGTAAAGTTTGACTCTGGATTATTGTATTTGAAAGTTTTAACGTGTTGTAAACCGCTTTGCTTCCCCCCCCTTTAAAATATAAAGTGGTATAGAACGGAACTGAAAAATAATAATAATACCTTGAGTTGATCATCGACGACTCTGGTAACCTCCCCAGCCATCGATTCTAGTGTCTCCTGGATTGGGTTGGATAAGGAACCATTTGCTCCTGCCCATGAAGGTCCACCAAGATGATACAGATTGGGCAGCAACTGTAAAAATTATTGCAACAAATTAACTCAAATTAATCATTATCTACAGAATCCTGTTAAGCAGGTAAACGCAAATAATATATATTTAAAAATACTTAATCTACATTAATATTGTAATAGTGATTTATTCTATTGGAATTAGTACGCCAGTAACATAAAAGCTTGGTACCACTTACAGTTTTGGAGTTCTTCGCATCTTTCATAAGTCTTTCTGCCGATTTCAGATCTTCCTGTATTGTATCAACACCACAGTTTCTTAAAGAGTTGATATGGTCTTGCACTTTGACACATATTCTGTCAATCATCTACACAGAAACAGAGCGGGAAGAAAAGATAATATTAGCAACCGTCAGAAAAGCTGTAAAACATTTTAATTCCCAGTATTCTAAGTAACCATATGGGAGCCACATGATGGCTAGAGGCAAAAATGGGCAGAGCAAGATTAATCCAGAATGTGGCAGCTAGACTAGTGACTGGGAGTGGCCGCCGAGACCACATAACACCAGTCCTGAAAGACCTACATTGGCTCCCAACACGTTTCTGAGCACAATTCAAAGTGTTAGTGCTGACCTTTAAAGCCCTAAACAGCCTCGTCCCAGTATACCTGAAGGAGCGTCTCCACCTCCATTGTTCAGCCCGGACCCTGAGGTCCAGCGCTGAGGGCCTTCTGGCAGTTCCCTCACTGCGAGGAGTGAGGTTACAGGGAACCAGGCAGAGGGCCTTCTCGGTAATGGCGCCCGCCCTGTGGAATGCCCTCCTATCAGATGTCAAGGGAATAAACAACTATCTGACTTTTAGAAGGCATCTGAAGGCAGCTCTGTTTAGGGAAGTTTTTAATGTTTGGTGTGTTATTGTGTTTTTAATATTCTGTTGGAAGCCTCCCAGAGTGGCTGGGGACCCTTCTCTACTCTCCATCCAGGCAAGCAAGAGGCATTATCAGAATTCAAGGACACAACCCAACCATGCAAAAACAGTAAAGAAGGGTGTAAGGCAGAGCTAGTGAGAGATGTGGCCTTGGGGGAGCCCCATGGGTCTGGCAGTGATGCTAGGAAGGTCACATTTGGCTCCTGGGTCAAATCTTACTTCAGACTTAGAATGGTGGTTTAGCAGGGGATGGAAAGAATCTGATGCTCAGGAATACGTGTTGGCATCCAGAGTTCTACACATAGTCAGTTCAAATCATACTCTTAGGTTCAAAATCTCCCTCCCCACTGAAGCACCTCTGAAAATATGCTCCACAAGGTTGGGAACCCTTCAGAATAGAAGGTGGGGCAGGAGGTTTTGTGGAGAAATTAGTGAAAGTTATCTCCCCTCCACTTCCATTTCTGAAACCTTTTCTGTGAGTGGAATTTTATGAAGACCAATTTAAATCCAACCCACTGAAAATTACCATAGTTGTTTGTTTGTTTGTTTAAGTGAAATGCATTCACCTGCTGTGTTGTGCTAGTAACTATGCCCTGCTGCAGTCTGTATGCTTGTTCCTGTAGATATTTTCGGGTCTCATGATTGCGAAGCAAATAATTTTCTATCTAAGAACAGAAGTAAAAAGTAAGTTAGGAATATATGTGCATGAGTATGCACACAAACAGTTAACGCATTTGTTTTTAAAAATCAAGTGAGAAAAACAATGAAAGAAATGCAATTTCACACAAGTGAAACAAAATGAGAAAACGAGATTGGATCAAAAATGAGTCAAAAGAAAAGGGGAGTACTATTTGAGGCAGGGAAAGTATTATTATTATTATTATTATTATTATTATTATTATTATTTTATTGAATTTATATACCACTCTACACCTGAAGGTCTCAGGGTAGTTCACAGAAAATAAAGCAAAACGTGTTTGCCATCACCAGCTGTTCTGATACATCCCAATATTTAAAGCACAAAACTCAACAGCCACATTTCTCTGATAATATTGTTAATATTCTCTATATCTGCAGTCACTAGCGATCAGTAAACAGAACATGAACAAATGGCATCACACATACATGTATTTAGATTGAGGGACAAGGGAAATCCTGTGGAAAACTTCAGCAGGTTTCCTTGCATTAAAATGCAATTGGGAATTCCTTAATCCAGTGGATTTAGATAGTAACAGGCACAAGTCCCAGTTTTCTCCATGGTGGTGCCTTCCTTTGCAACTTTTGGGTGGGGCCCCAACCACCCAATCACTGGAGATGCGAATTTGGTTTTTTAAAAATAATTACAAACAGGAAAAGGATTTCTGTTTCCGTTGTTTTTAATTTGTGTTTTAACTGCAATAACAAATATTATTTTCAATATTGTAATTACAAATTGTTTTGAGTATTGGAAACAGAAAAGTAACTAAATGTATTTATAAAATGGGATAAAAGTGGCAATCACCATCATGTCCAAAGGTACTTTCAATTCATTGATTTTCACATATGTGAAATCATTGGGGGGGACGGGGGACGGGACAACGACCCTTTTGTTCCTTAGATTAAGGCAAAATAACTGTTCCAAAAATTAGTCCGTTACCTAGGTGCCTAGGAATACACATGCAAACATACACATCCATTTTATTTGTGTTACGTACCAAAAAATTCCGCTTACTTAGCACTACATGGGACTGTTTACTATTATGCATTTATTTCTGTTATTTTTCACTTCCCACACTTCATTGGGAGGGAGAGTTATTTTCATGCCCTTTTGGATATCATAACCTTTGCAAACATACTTGTATGGACCCCCAGGGTTAATACACACACACTCACCCCCCTCAAGAATTTTGTTCATCCAACCATGAAATGACAAGCATTTAATAATATTAGTTTCTCTGCGTCTCCCTGTCCATCCCAATCTATAAGTAACTGTAGGCAATACCTTTTGAAGTGCCTCTTCGGTTTTTTCAGGGCTTGTTTTAAGTGCTTGAGAAGCATCATTCACAGGTATAGGCATGAATCTTAATGTATAATTTCTTTTTAAAAAAAATGTAGAAAAAAATCAGGTTAGACGGGCACATAGAAAAAACAATTATTTCTAACGTTTCTGTAAACTTCCTAGTCCCTTTATCAAATGCACACATTTTGTTACACACAAGCTGAAACGCTGTGTCAATATATAGTTTCCAGGACTACATTTCAAAATGGCTTTGATACATAGCTGAGATGTAAAAAGTGATATATATGGTGTTCTGCATCAGTTTGCAAGTAGACACAAATAAGGGGTGATTCTTACACCCCTTCCTAGAAAATAGATCTCAGTCTTTCATATAGATATAGGAAGATGACTTTACCCATCTAAGTATTTTCTTAAAATCAAGCTTTTTGAACAAGGATGCCCAATGAAAATAACAGAAGCTGCACAACAGATGTGTTTCATGGCATATATGAGTATGAATAATAACCACCAAGTGGGAAAAAATGACTGTATAGGGAAGTTTTTAATGTTCAATGTCTTACTTCGCTTTAATTTGTTGGAAGCCTACCAGAGTTGGTGGGGAAACCCAGCCAGATGGTTGGCATATAACTAACTAACTAACTAACTAAATAAATAAATAAATAAACACCTGCAAAATAAAATGTGACTGCCCTATATAATCTTACATTTGGCACAAACACAAAGCTGCTTCACAGTTTTCTTAGTTGACAAGTTTTTTTAAAACCATATCTAATGTGAAATATGACTTGCTTTCACCCTTACCACATAAATAGCATATTTCACGTAACCAAAACTGCTTCATGCTTGGCATCTCTCAGTCATTCTTTTGGATTGTTGGGGATGACAGTTAAAGTTCTAATATGGCTACTTAAGAATCAGCAGCACTACAGAATCCAAATTTGATGTGCCCTTTCCGGCCAAATTCATCCCTCACCAATCCCTGACAGTTATTCAGACCACAAGCAGGGACCAGGTGAGCTGCAGAGCTGGCTCAACAAGCATCCGAGCCAAGCCAGTAAGGTAAAGTAGTTAGTGCACAGCTTGAATCTGGTTCAAAACATTACACGCCAAGTGGGTTCCATCTTTCTCATGTCTGCAATGTTTGATCAGCCCACATCGTCCTGTGATCCCCTTCAGCAGGTTATTGCATTTTACAGACCCCAATGCAAAGAAGACCCCATTTTACAGATCCTGCAGCTCACATCAGGCAAACCGCAACCCTAAAACTAATCTTTCCTTGTCTCTGCAAACTTTCTCCCTCTTAGTTGAGGCAGGGGCCCTTCCCACAGCTGTCTGACTTAACAGCCCACCTTCCTGCCTTTTGCTTGGTTAATGACTTGGCCATTATTAAAGAACTGCCTCATTAGGAAACTGGCTTGTGTTATTTCCAGCCCTTGCTAGATCCAGGAATTTAGGAGTTTGCTTAAATTCTAACCTTTTACTGAATTCAGAGATCTAGCGGAGTCTGACCCCCCCCCCAAATCCTAACAATATATTTCCAAGGGGAAAGTTCTCATTTCTAAAGACAATTCGGGAAATTTAAAATTCAACATCTGAAAGAATAACCAGCATGTATTTTTACCCCTATATTTACTGTTTCATACTGAGTGCAAAATACATGGATAAAATGCAACTAGCTCCTTGTAGGAACAGCAAAATACAATAAATTACAGTGGTACCTCGGGTTACATACGCTTCAGGTTACAGACTCCACTAACCCAGAAATAGTACCTTGGGTTAAGAACTTTGCTTCAGGATAAGAACAGAAATCGTGCTCCGGCGGCGCGACAGCAGCGGGAGGCCCCATTAGCTAAAGTGGTGCTTCAGGTTAAGAACAGTTTCAGGTTAAGAACGGACCTCCGGAACAAATTAAGTACCTAAGCCGAGGTACCACTGTATATGTATTTTATAAAGTAATGCAGGATATATGTTATTTTAATAGAACAAGCAAATAGGAAAAAAGAAATTTAAGCAGTCTATCAATGTTACTCGCATGCCCAACAGGTGTACTGCTAGCCTATTTAAGTTTTCTGACAACAGATGTAGCAACTAGATCTTCCATGCAAATAAAAACTGCTGAGTTTTCCAGTATAAAAATTTGGAATGAGGGATAACAACCTACTTTAAAAATATGACTAAATAATCCATAGGCTTCTGCAGAATTAGCTTGCAAAACTATAGCCCTTTGTTTAATGAATACATGACGTTATCCACCAAAATGTCAGTAACTGTGGGAGTCTCGACCTCTTCCTGTGTTATATATTGACTTATTTTTCACTGCTGTGATCCTAATCTATGTTTGGAGTTTTTGTCTCTTGGATTATAACACATTTCTAAAGAGTTATTTCCCACCCTGCAGCCCTGATACTGTCCTGAAAATTCCAATCATCATAATGCACAACAAGTGGGTTTTTTTCATAATTATCTCAACCCGATTCTAGACTTTGCATTTTCAGTCCTGCAGTGCAACCATCAATAAATCACTCCCTATTGAACCAAAGTAATTAAGACGAGAGAATGCAACACTGTTTGTTGTTCTTCATAATGGTTTTCATATTTCTGTAGCAAATATATAACTTCACTGTTACAGTTTGAAAAACTCCCAAACCAATCATTTTGATGCTGTTAAAAAGGAAAACATTGTACTTCTTTTACTCTGTTGTTGCCAAAAAATGGATACTTTGGAAGAAAGAAATAGTTTATCTAAAGTAAGGTTAATTTTATAATGCAAAAAACAACTACCTTGAGAACAGAAGAATTAGTTACATTACTTGATCTGCTAAGAAGCATACGGTAGGAAATGTTTTCTAATAAATATGTGATACACACACACACACCCTTACCAATGTTGACATAAAAGGCTGTCTTCCCCGCTAAGAACTTTGCTGATCACATCTGGGGCCCCATGAAGGAGACAGAAGGTGACCTGAACTTCTATGCTCAGTAAATAAGATGTCACCTTTAGAAAATCATAGCTGTTGTATTAGCACCAAGATTTCCACTTTCTGTCAGATAATTTCATTCTCAATCTTAAGAGCAGCCCCCCTTTTTCATTTATCTTGGCAGATGGAAGAGAAGGCACATATTATAAACAGGATGCCAGAGAGTATTTTCCTGTCAACAGAATGCATGTTGTCAGTCTGTGAAGGGATTTCCTCACCCCAAGTTTGCCATTGATCTCAGTACTGCCAGTTAACTTTTCATTAACTCTAACTTCAACAAGATGGCACCGTTTAAGTGCCTAAGCTGGCCACTTGACTATTTTTTAATTCCACACATTAGGATAGAAAGTGATAATGAATTTGAAAATTGGTAATCAGCCAACAAATGTTTTAGTAACAGAGTACATCCATCAGTACAGAGGAGAGAATGCAAATATTAGGGATTCCTCTGCCATTCAGACCATGCAGATCAAAATGATTCGTTGTCTTTTTTTTTGCAAAGCAGCATTGTAACATTAGCAACCAAAAATTGGGTCCATCTTTGTGACAATTATAATACACAACTGGGTGGAACTTACTTTTCTAGAGCCACTGCTATATCTTGGAAACCCTGGGCAGAGATATTATTCTTGTCCCATATAACAGTTCTGTTGAGAAAATAGTAATGACACAGGTGCACTGATGAAGTTGTTTTTTAAAAACAAACAAACAAACAAACAAACAAACAAACAAACACATATTAAAAACTATCAGTACTAGTGCATTTCCAGTATTTAGAACAGAGTAGATCTGTATGTTTGGTCTGGGAGATTAGACAATATGCAAGAAACTCATGAACAAAGCATGGGTTAAGGCATGCAAGACAGACATCGTTCAAGCTAAGGAACATGTTATGTTTAAATATGCACATAATACCTGAGTTTGGTGTTTATTTGAAGAGCCTTTGCTAGCATTTTTGCTCCCATGTCTCCCATGCCGTTTCCACTAATATCCACTTTTGTAAGAGATGTATTGCTGCCCAAAGCATTGATGATAATAGTAACCTCCGTCTTCAGCTTGGAATCTGCTAGAGACAGCGACTGCAAGGGCTGCAGAGTAAATAAAGAACAGGCAATATCACTGCACTACCCCTTAAAGGTAAAGGGTAAAGGGACCCCTGACCAGTCCAGTCGTGGCTGACTCTGGAGTTGCGGCACTCATCTCGCTTTATTGGCCAAGGGAGCCAGCGTACATCTTCCGGGTCATGTGGCCAGCATGACTAAGCCGCTTCTGGAGAACCAGAGCAGCGCACGGAAACGCCGTTTACCTTCCTGCCAGAGCAGTACCTATTTATCTACTTGCACTTTAACGTGCTTTCGAACTGCTAGGTTGGCAGGAACAGGAACTGAGCAACGGGAGCTCACCCCGTCGCGGGGATTCGAACCGCCGACCTTCTGATCGGCAATTCCTAGGCTCTGTGGCTTAACCACAGCGCCACCCACGTCCCACGCACTACCCCTTATGCTAGCCCAAATACCCCCTTTCAAGCATCATTAGATCAACCGGCAGCACAGTTCTGCACAAGATGCCTTCACAAAGAAGTTCTAAGTGAACTGCTACAAATGTAGAATTTTACACTACAAAAGAGTAATACATTCCATCATATTATTTGGAGCTACTGCAAGGCGCAGGCCTGGTTCATATGATCATCTAAATCAGGGGTGGACAACCTGTGGCCCTTCAGATGTGGCTGAACTGCAACTCCCATCATTCCTGACCATTGGCCATGTTGGCTGGGGCAGATGAAAGGTCTAGTTCAGCAGCATCTGGAAGCCACATATTCCCCACCCCTGGGTCCAGACCATGGTGCAGATGGCTGCAAATGAGCTGCAACATATTCTGGACACGTGAGGTCCCCTTCCCTTCTCCTCGTCTTTTGTGCACATAAGATATAGAGTAAAAAGCTTTAACCTTTTAAAAGGAAAAACACACAACTAAGAAAACCTAATGCTCAATATATCAGTTTCTAGACCTTATAGACAAGAAGAGTGCTGCTGCACTGAAGTCCTGCTTGTGGGCTTCTTTTGGGCATCCAGTTGACCACTGTTAAAAAAACAATGCTGCAGTGGATGGGCTACTGGCCTGATCCAGGAGGCCTCTTGTTATAACTATGCTTATTATTATTATTATTTTGACAGCATCTAGAAATATAAAATACCCTCTGCATCTGAATCTGCAGCTCACTGTCAACACACAAACACAAATACACATGCTGCAGGAGATCTCTAGATGGCTTGAAAAAGATTATTTTTTTCTTGCCACCGCTATACAGTAAGATTAAAAACCCAGAGGGATGGCGCTAAGTTGGAGCTTGCCATTATGCAAACTAGGAAGGCAATGCGCTGTGACTACATAATTGAAAAGCCTGTCCTTGACAAAGAAATGTAACCGTTTTAGTTTTAATGACAGCTATCAAATTACTGTATTAATTCTCCTAATCTCCAAGTGCGCCCTTACTTTATTCGCCACATAATTTAGAGAGCATTAGCTTCACATTAGCCTGGTGCTTGGGAACGGTAGCAAAAGTTTAATTGAGGTGCTTCGTGCTTCTGTCGTAGGTTCTAGCACAAAACCGTAACAGTACAGCTCATCCTTCTGAAATAATAATCAGCTCAGCAATGCTTGTTTACAGCGTGCACAGCAGAGGAATTTTTTTAAAAGTTAATTGGAACAGAATGCAGGAGTTCACCATCATTACTGAGAGTGAGCAAGGGATAAGCTTATCTCTTCAATAATATGTACCATAAGGGATGGGAAATCTGTGGCCCTCCAGATATTGTTGGACAACAGCTCCTACTAGCTCAGCCAGGATGGCTAATGCTTGAGGATGATGAATGCTGTAGTCCAGTAACATTGAGAGCACCACATCTCTCCCGTGGGTGCATTCCTTCTTCCACACTAAGGCCTTCCTGTTCTGTAAACCTGCTTTCTCTGCTTTCATACTAAAAGTGGGACATCTGGTCTTCAATCACAGTCTCAGGAAGAGCACAACTTATTCCTGCATCCAATTGACTCTCAATTAGCTAATTATCCTGGTCATAGTGGTAGTTAGGTCCATGGAAAAATTAAGAACTATTCACCCCAAACATCCTTGAAAAGAAAGCCTCTGTGTTTATCAATCTTAGGCCCTATGAGGGGACTGGTAGAGGCACAATGTTTCTGCCTAGCCTGGCTGTGAGGTAAATTCAAAAACCCTGAATAGGGTCTGCCAAATGATCACACTACTATTTTAATATTTTAGTATTTCGACGCTGGATAGTCATTGGTATAAAACACAACCATGTAATAAAAACCACAAGATTTAATGATTATTATACAAAAAATCAGAATTTAGAATGAATGGATCCAATACTCCCAAACATTCTTATGTCAACCTAAGGCAGACATTGCACTAGTCTGTCAAATGCAATAAAACGAAGGCTTTAAATACCATTTCATATGACAACTTTCTTACACACTACTCTGCATGAAAGCATCTATGCCAATATGCAGAGCAGTGTGTGAAAATGGCAAGAGTTTCTGTGTTATCATAATTATACCCTGAATTGACTCTTGCACTTGAAACCAGGTGCTGTGCCAAGTATCATCAAGTACTGTAATTCCAAAATTAGAGTTATTTTATTCTTAGGGAACCCATTCCAACACTTCACGCTCCCATCATGTAACACCAGGAAAATTAGAGGTTTGTCTGCAGACTGAAGTCGTTTATCTATAGAGGGGAGATAACTGTCCTCCCCTTTTCCAATTGTCCAGGTGTGGATATTTGTTCCCCTTTTCTTGCTCAGGATTGTTTCTGTGCGTCTCTGATACTCGAGGGACCTTTTTGCCTTCCCTATTCCAATAAATCCCTAAGAGATAAATGATTACAAAACTCTGGATTTTTTTACCTATTTAAGGCTGTGAAATTGCACCCTCCTAATTACTATTTGACTCATCCCTAGAAGGAGACTTCTCCAGTTCCCAAAAGAACTTTCTTTCTGACTCCAAAATTTGACTCACTCCTCTAAAATTGGGAATGCGGCTCTATTCAGAGCTTAATAGATCACAATTGCCCTCATCATCATAATGTCCCTGGGGGAAATTTGAAGGAGAGACAGGGATAAAAGAAAAATCAATCTGCATTAGTGGACAAATGGTTGTTAAAAATAGCTCAGAGCTGTTTAGTGGTCAATTTGTTTGGAATATTTCTCCATATAGTCGGTCTTATCAGTTGTCCAGTTCAGAGACATTGGTTGCCTAATAAAATCAAAGACAAATAATCTGCACTTTTATTAATACTGGCTTGAGATGAGTCATACTTTGATACATTAAGCTTAATATAACGATAATTTAGAGGGCAATTCTTTGCTCTTGAGTTTTGAAAGCAAGAGATCATAGAACCCTGAACCAAATCCTATGAGGGTCTGGAGATCAATTATCCCTGGAAGAGAGACATGAACTGGCATTTACTGATTAGGATGCTCCAATGCTTTATTAATATACTGTTAAGATTTCAGCATCAAATTAAATCTCACTTCTAGAAATAAGGTATCATTGGCACCATTAGCCAGGTTGTTCGAAATCCCCTGGAAAACATCTACAAATCCAGTTTCTGGATAAGAACAATAGGCTATAAAAACCAATTACTCATTTGGGGGAACTGCAAGGAATCTTTCAGTTTTTTAAATGCTCATTCTGTCCAAGTGGTCACATGAAATCAGATTCGATTTTTGAAGCAGCTTAGGGGAGGGGACCTAAGGCAATATCTAGTTAGTATTAAAATTAGCTTGTAAAATATAAAATTGAAATAAAAATGTATATACAAACAATAAAACAGGAAACAGCCCTGATGAAGTCAATATAACAGAGAAATTTTTGATCTTGCAAAATTTAAATCACTAATAGTTTCCAGGAGTTCCAAAAAGTCTCTCAGAGGTTAAACACACAGGTTTTCATACTTGTATTTGCATGAATACTTAATACTTAACATAACCTCAGTGTTATCAATGACAGTTCTAAAAATATAATAAAAAATCTTGTGGCATGCAATAATGAAAAAATATAAAAGCAAACTGTAACAAGCATAAATCCCCTTAAAGACCCAAGCAAACTCTAACTCTGCCAAAGTGCCACCCCAAAGTTTGATGTCTTTTGATACTGTCTTTTGGCTGCCACTGCCCCTTCCCAGAAGCAACATCTTTTGAAGTTTCAGCCACGAGGGACGGGGGACATGACTGGTCACTTGGCCTAAATGGAATACATATGATCTTGCTGTTAGTAGAAAGAATTCATTTTTGGCAAGAAGCCTGGCAGTTATATGGTGTCACTTAGCCCTGGGTGGAACCTACACTCCCATGCCAACGGCTAATTGCTATGTACTACCTGGAACTGTTTGGTCCTGCTGGTAGTTAATGTAGGAGAGACCAAAGGAGGACAACCCAGGCTTTGCTTTCCCACCAGCAGGTGACTGGCATTGTTATAGACAACAATGCCAACCATCTGCTTGGCCGATGTAGGAGGAGAACCAGTAAATATAGATAGATGATAGTAGATAGATAGATGATAGATAGATAGATAGATAGATGATAGATAGATAGATGATAGATAGATGATAGATAGACACAGACACAGACTCATTCTGCACTCAATTCCAAAGCACTCAAACTGTTGATTTCTATATTCTTTGGACCTAAAAACGAAAAACAAGCTTTTTATGGTGAGCAGGTAAACTTCATATCACCTCATAACATCAACCCCAGACAACTGTAGAACGAGATTTGGATCTCAGGAGTAAGGGAAGCTGTTGTTAAAAAGGCAGGGAAATGGATCTTTGAATATTTGTTACTATCTATAAAGCACAAGTGTAGCCCCAGAATCAATCAGACCCTGCATAGAATCTTAAAATGTTTCAACACTTTCAAAAAAAAGGTTGTGTTTTTTCCCCAGTGCATAGCTCATTGTTTGCTATATAAATTTGAACTGGTTAAAAAATAAACCTGACTAATGCTTTTGCCTAGTATATATTGTTGACTAATAGCTGCAGGTGAGAGATGGTGGTGTTTAAGACAACATTAAAGTAGTAGGGTAATGATACTCACCGAATCTTCATCTTGAATCATTTGTACTAAATTATCAAGTACAGGGGACAGATTTCTAAAAGAGGCAACAAGCAAGAGAAAAGGTGAAACCAGCAGTTTTTATTGATTATTCCATTTTAAAAACCCCTCCCACAAATAAATAAAAATCTTACTTGGATTTCATGTTGTTAAAGTTTTTTCCTAATGCCAAATGCCTTATTGATCGGTTTTTACTAAGCCAGACTATAAGGGTTGAAAGGTCAGATTCCAGGCCTGCGAGGAACCAGATGAAATGCACAGTTAAAATAGATCCCCACAAATGCATTTTGTCACAGGGGTTTCACTCTATAGTTAGAGAGTACTTTCACACCAATTTCCTTAATTAGCAAGAGCACATGCTTTGGTGGATGAAAAATGTGATCTAGTCCCTTATTTTCCTACGGAAAAGCAGTTTTGAGAAGACAATTTTAAAAAGGAAACCAGTAGGTGGAGAAAGGGTTAAGTGGCTTCTTTACTTCAAGTTGCCAATTTCCTGAAGATGCTTTTACCCAGGAAAGTGAACATTGAGCATTGGTTACATGCACAATAGGTACTTGGACTCTCAGCATAATGGCTGCTATGCAGACAGCTATGTGTTTCAGCAAAGGAAGACTCTCTCATTCTTTTGAGAGTTATGGCCACAATATATTGTTTAGCTAATTTTAGTTGCTTTGAAAAGCAATATAATTCTCCAACAATTTGATCCTATTTTGAATGGGTTCAATAACTGCTGCCCAAGAAGATTAATAGCATGAGAATAAAATGATGCACCAAGTGTTTTGCTCTGTGTCTAGACTAAAAAAGAACATCTGACGGAAGTATATTTCAGCATTAGGCTTTTAAGGGTTTTGTGGAAAAATGAGGTTGATTGTATACTTAATTATCCTGTTCTTCAATCCCCCCCCAATAGCCTATTATATAATGAAAGCAGACTTACTGCTCAATGCTAACTATGTTTGCTCAGCAAGTCAGTTTGCTTTCAATGGGAGTTTTGTCCAAATAAAGCAAGTCCCATCAGGTATGCAGTCTACTTGCAAGTAAATATGCATAGGATCACACCATAAATCATCCACATTCCTTAATCCTCTGTGCAGACATATGAGCCCTTACCATTGTCTGAAATATCAAGGCTGGCGATATTATGTATTTCTGCTATGCATCCTTCTAAAACCTGGGCACCTCCTGATCTTAGCTAGAGGGGCAAAAGAAAGCATTAGATAACTTTTCACTGAGGTAGTGCTGAGAATGTGGAAAGCAGAGGTTTGCAAATAATGCAAACTATAGTACGAATAAAGCTGAAGTACCAGTACTTCATTTTTTCTGAAAGTAGCTGTTAGCATTTTGTTTTTTGCTGCCCTATCGAACAGGAATAATATCTCATGACAAAGTGTATGCTATAAGGGATGATGATGATGAAGAAAATACAAACTACAGTGGTACCCCGCAAGACGAATGCCTCGCAAGACGGAAAACCCGCTAGACGAAAGGGTTTTCCGTTTTTGAGTTGCTTCGCAAGATGATTTTCCCTATGGGCTTGCTTCACAAGACGAAACGTCTTGCAATTTCCCCCCCGCTTCCCCCCCTTTTTCTAAGCCGCTAATAGCCTTTTAGCAGCTAAGCCGCTAAGCCTTTAATAGCCGCTAAGCCGCTAAACTGCTAATAGCGCTAATCCACTTAGCCGCTAATAGGGTTGCTTCGCAAGACGAAAAAACCGCTAGACGAAGGCACCACTGTACATGCAATATCCTGCTGCTCCTTTTATTAAGTTCAAAATAGCTTCCCAATTCTCCCTGATCTAGGCAGTGATCAGCTTCACATCTGCCTAACCTCTATTCTATGAAAGTATGACACGTTCTGCTCTAAAACAACCAAAGCTCTCCTGCGCTCAAGTATCAGCAATTAAAAAGATGCTCTGCAAAGGGAACACGTGTAGTGGATAGGCAGGAAGTGAGCTGCTTTGGGGTTAATAGTTGAGAGGCTGCAAGTAATAAATGATGTGTACTTACACAGTGACCAAGCTAATGGAAGCAGGAGGGGGGAAAGTTAAAATACATCAGAGCTGAGCAACTAAAATAGAAGTATTTTCTGCAATAAAATCAGCAGTACATAGCAACGAAGTTTTGGATCAGAGTTAGTAAGTCAGCAGTTAGTCACAAGATAAAGCTGAAGCGGTGAGGAAAGGAAATATTTGGTTTTTTTCCTAGGCATGATGAAGCCTTGGCTCTGTTGTGTAGACTGAAAGGACCAAGCAGCCTATAAGGAAAGGCAAAGCTGATATCCCGCTTGATATTAATACATTCAGAATCAGATAAAACTAGGAAAGGTTCTCTGGCTGCTTGTTTGCTAGAAGCTGGGCTGGCACTGGGGTATTTAAAGTGGGCAGCTGAAAACTAATTGTACTACTGATAAAAACAAAACATTCACAAGTTTTCAACAGCATCAACAAGTCTACTGTCATTCACAGAGGGCCTAAGCACTGGGGTCCTGCTAGCTAGGGATGATGGGAGTTGTAGTCTAAAGGCAGCTGGAGACACAAGTTTGGGAAACACTGGACTAAGATAACCTTTTCCAGTTTCGCTTAGTGACTCTTTCTTTCAACAGCAAGGCCATAATAATAATAATAATAATAATAGTAATAATAATAATAATAGTAATAATAATAATAATAGTAATAATAATAATAGACCTTCATCTGAATTTCCTCAGTTTCAAAACAGATTGCCATTTTTGCTGCTGCTGTTCAGAAAATCACAGCATAACAGATGCATGTCTGTACAATAGGTGCACTTATACCCAAGGCCAGGCATGTTCTGCAAATGTGCAAGAAGTTTTAAAATTGGCTTAATGCTTCTTCAGCATGGCCAACACAAAATATACAGAAACCGTTATCTTTAAGGAGAACAATATAATCATGACATTATAGATTGTAAGCATTTCCTACCTCACAGCTGCTCAGATCTAAAAACACCTCCTTCACATTTTGGTTACAAGCGAGACCCAGTAAGAGTGCTCTGAAAAATGAATTAGAATTATTATGGAACACTAGAATGGCAATCAAGTCACAAGAGAAATTCCTGCTATATATATTTTTTGTATATTGTACGTGTTATTGTTGGATGCTTCTTTGAGAACTACATGGTGGAAAGCGGGATACATTTTAAAATAAACAAACAAAATATTTACTGAAAGGCATTGGCAATGTAACTAAATGCACTGTATACACTGTATAATTAAAACATGGTTTGGAAGTGTCTCCGTAGGCCGGCACACTTCTTCTGCTCCCTCCTGTATACAGGTTGCTCCTCTATGGTTTGAATATGGTGCCTACTGGATAAGGTTTGTCTAGGACCTATTATAAAATGATAGTTAGCAAAAGGGAAGAGGGACCACATTTGTCTGCAGTGTCCTGAATGATCTAAGCCAAGTCAATAAGTTCTAACACCTTTCAGTTAAACAGAATTAAAGTAGAACATTTATTAATTAAATACTCAAACATCAAAAATCAAGCAAATTAAATTGAACATGAAAGAACTGAGTAATTTTACTATTCATAAAACAGGAACTGTAAAGAAAACACATAACACTGCAGGGAATCAAATGCATGACTATTTATAAGCCAAAATCTGCAGAACATTTTTTCGGTCTATTTTATTCATATGAAATCAACACACCCTACTATCAACTTTCCTGTCTACTCATAAATTTACACAAGGGAGCGTCACAATGCAATTTAAAATCTTATGACAAAATTCACAGCACACTTACTTTAGCGGCTCAGGAGGAAGTTTAGTCCCTGAAAGGTTGATTTGCACCAAAGCAAGGGAACTGCTGAAAAATTGCTTGAAGGATGGGGGTACTTCCTTGCCCTTTCTGTAAAGCAATAAGCAGATAGAAGTCAACATCCACAAACCTCTAAGATATGCTGCTAAATCTGCTGTTTCCTACATAAGGCTTGTGATCATTGTTATGTATGTTTGCAATCCAAAGAGATACAATTGCTAACTCTTATCAGAATGCAATAGCAGCATTAATTCATCAGCCTCAAATGTCTAGATCAACAAGCATCAACCAGCAGAAAACAAAGAGGAACCACTGGGTGGTATCCAGTGTGGGCTGGTGCTACAGAACTTCAGTTTCCTCCCCTCTACCACCAATATCTGCTCTGAAGGGTCCCCACAAACCTATGGAGATGAATTTGAGTGCATGTTGGGGCTGGAGGGAACAGGAGAGGAAGAGAGAACTCTGCTCACATAACTGCCTTGCACAAGCAGAGCTGCAGCATTGGATATGACCCTCTAAAAATAAACTTATAGTAGTGCACATGTTTTATTGATACAGGCACCCCCTCCCATTTACACACATTCAATATGTGCGCAACTGTGCGCACATGTAACACGCCAAACCCAGAAGTGACCCATGAATGTCACAGAAAGGGGCAGAACAGGGAGGGTGGAATAGAGTATTTGCAGGCTTCTTCAACGGCATTTCAAAAATACGCAACTTCACTTAAACATGCAGTGGCTTAGAACGTAACCCCCACATAAATGGAAAGTTGAATATACAGAGAAGCTAGCAGCAAAACAGAGATGAAGTAAGAAAACTGCTTTGGTCTTGGATCTCATAAGAGGGGTAGGAAAGAATCAACACCCAGCTGTTTCACTTTTTCTTTGCCTAGCTCTACCATAAGACACTTACAGTAAATGATCCCTTTTCAAGTATAGTTAGCGTGGCAGAGGTAAGAGACAACTGTAACATGTACAAGAGGTATTTTACAAATGACTTTTCACACACAGTTATCACATGATATACAGAAATCATTGCACGTGGCATACACCTCCCCAAATCACCACAGAGTCACACCATCAGCAAGATTCTCCACCTTTTTTATTCCTTTTTCATCCTCTAGTTTCCAGCCTTATTTACCTACACTGCCATTTAATCCAGTTTCGCAGTGCATACAACCTAAATGCTTTAGTTTACAAGTGCTGGTAGTATCATTTCACCAAGATACAGTGTTTTTACAGCTCTAAGATTTTTTTTTGGGGGGGGGGGAGTTTCATGATACAGTATCTAATTCACACAAATAACGATAAATGCTGACCTGTGAGAAAAAACTGTTCTGGATAAGTTGAGGATGGCAAGATGCTGAAGGCAGCCATGGAGAAGTGCTCCACACATCTAAATCGTGAATAAGAAGATAGTAATTTTACAAATAAGCCAATATGAAACAGGAAAAACTGGACTTCTCTTTAGTAAATTATTACCATGTCTAATGCACACTCTGTGTTGGATAAATCCAGATGAACAATCGCGTTTGGCTGGGCCAAAAAATTATACAGGAACTATAAGGGAGAGACAGAAAGAGGAATTTTAAAAAATAAGCTTCAGTTTTCTTCTGGTATTCATATCCACTTCTCTGATCTTGAAGGTAACTGCTGCCCTGACAAATATTCATATTTCACCCTTATGATACCATAACATTCTGGTCCTTAAATACCAAATACCTCATAAGTACTAAGAAAAAAATACTGCCTACATAAGATCAAATAGTAGCCTTGACACGTGCATGCCTCGGTTTTAAATAATCAATTAACTACTCAGTTTCAAGGAACCATTATTTTTAATTACAAAGTAGATTAGAATACCAGCCACCTTTCAGCCAAATAATGCAAAACAATTTTAGTGAAACTCTCACACAAAGACAGCTATTAAATTGCAACTGGATCTAGTAAGTCAGTTGCATCCTCCACCCAGAATTAATTCCCACAAGGCATTTCAGAAATAATTTCATAGACTGAAAATCTGAGAGGTTTATATATACATGTATACATGAATAAACATTCTCATAAAAGGGGGGGGCTGACATGGGCCATGTTATTTGTCAAGGTGTGGCAGTTCACAGAAACAAGCAGCTAAATTAAGAGCCACTTTCTTCTTTTGCTGAGGGCTGCAAATCCCTATAAGGACACCACATTGGCTACTCCCTGCATAGAACCTATGATTGGGGTGGAAGAAAGCAAAATCGCATTCACCCCACCCACTGGTGTGGCTACCCTGCTTTTCGGCCCACAGGGCAGCCACTGGATTCTAGACTAGGGCCAAAGCAAACCAAATTCAAACTGCGCCACAATTTGGAGAGAGCAAGCTCTGCCCTCAAATGCAGTTTCATTCACTTCTCCTGATGTTTCTTGAGGCAGGGTTAAAGAGAGGACATACTGAGGAAGCCAAAACCTTCCTTCCACTTCTAGTCCTTCTGACACAGCAGTATCTGCACTCAGCTGAAAGGGATTTAAGTACACCTCACTTCCCCTCCATCTTACAATGAGAAGTACCCTATTTTTCCATTTATAAGACTAGGTTTCCCCCCCTAAAAAATAAAGTAAAAAAGTAGGGGGTGCCTTATACATGGAGCCGTCTTAAATCTCAGTCCCCCAAAATATATACACGTCTTATACATGGGGGCATCTTATAGATGGAAAAATATGGGATATGGCTGGTATTGAACAAAACTAGTGTTTTCCCCTGGCAAGGGGGTGCCGAATTTTGAAACTGCACAGGGTGCCGCTGATAATTTTTTTAATGATTTCATACATTTCAATAATTTTACAGTCATTTTAACATTTCAAAACTCGACTTCCTTCCTCCTCTTTCTGCGGTTCCTTAAATTTATTTTTATCATTTCCTGCAAATTCTAACTTAACTTATTATTTTATTCATCTACTTTAATTAAATACTCTTACGAAACTGCAGTTTATTACAATAACCATGCCAATGTCCTTATCTGTTTACAATTTCCATTCTTTTATAAAAAGTTCATTATCTTGATTTCTTATTTTTCCGGCAAGTTTGGCCATTTCTGCATAGTACATAAATTTTTGTATCCATTCTTCTTCTTTCGTTGGAGGTGCCACTAAAATTTGAGAACGCAAGATCCACCACTGGTGAAATAAAGCATGATATTTGGTTCAGACGTGATGCTAAACCAAGGGTTCTCTTGCTCATGGAAGAACAAAGCCAAAGTGATCTGCTCATTCATGGTAAGCCATTTACTATGGTTTACTATGATAGGTGAACCAGCCCATATTATCTTCCACAACAACCTGAGCCATAGGTTAGGTGCCTGCTATGTTGCTTTCTTCACAGGTTAAGGAAAATAATGGAAGATGGCTGACAACCTCAGGGGATTATTCCTTTAGTCCCTATAGATTGTTATGCACATCTAGGATCGGAACTAACAGGTGGTTCATATAACACATTCAATTGGCAAACTGTCTAAAATTAGGCAACTTGGGAAAATGAATGTGCTTTCTACTATTTCCAATTCTCTTGCGATGCTGCCTTCACTGGTATTTACTTCACTGATTGCTTTAACACAACAGATTTGTTTAGGAAGTAGAAAAAAGTAGCACCTACTGAAAGATCATCACCCCGAAGAACGTTCCCTGAGAGATCAAGGTGGGTCAGCGTGGTAGCTAAGAGCTGGTTGGCACTCAGTGATTGAGAAAGGCTGTTTACCCCTGCAACAAAATGGTCAACATTTGCCTTTGTCGTGCTCAGTAAAGTATTAACATACACTCTGCAAATATACAGTTTCTATGAAACATTTAATGATTTCCTGTTCTGCACCTCATCAAAAGAACATGAACAGCAATGAATATTTAAGATAACAGCACTGCTGGAGAGACTGTGCTTCCCACATGCTGATCATATTCAGTGGAAGCTTGGTACATATAGAAGTTGAAAAAAAACCAAGTCATGCAAAAGTCTGTGGGAGGCTGATCTCAGAAAATAAACATTTCCTTTATTAAGGTCATAAATGTGGCAGCTATATGGAATTGTTACAGTCCTGTTGAAATAGGATCAACCATTTCACAAAGAAAGAAAAGAGCGATAGGTACTGTGCAGGCTACCAAAGGTCTCCAGTCTGTATTCAACAGGCTTATAGGCTAAATGAAATTTTTTTTAAAAGGTAGCATGGGAAGGAGTTAGATGGGAATGAACTGGCAGTACAGAGGAAGTCAAGCTTCAGTGATCCAGGGAAGATTCTGCAGAAGAATTAAGTTTTCAAAATCTGATAAGAGATGAAGGCTGCTTCAAGTTAGAGGCAGCCGGGGGGGGGCATTAGGAAGATTGGAATAAAAATGAAACATCACAGCATGCAATGCTATAGTTTATTAAGAAAAGCATTAAAAAACAACAACCCTCTTAATTGCTGTGCTCCAAAAAGCAGATCTAGGACAACCAACAATGAAGCTGCAAGGTTTAAACCAAGCATGCATTGCAATTAACCATGAAAAGGAGCACAAATAAGGAACTCAAGAGCAAGCATGCATGTGCTTGAAAAGTGTGTGGAGGGCCAGGCTAAGGGAGAAGAAACCCACTTCTGTATTCTCCTTGGATGAATTTACAGGTGATAAGCACAACCAGTTTCTGCATCTAATCTTTAATTGTAATAAAATTCAGCCTTTAGGCTTCCGATTAAATTTCCCAACCATGGCTAAAGCAATGAAGTGTTGTCCTTAAGCCAAGCGAATGTTTTAGAAGATAAGCTAGGCAGAAAGCCACAAAGCTTTAAGTGACAAGATTGAAGGGGCTTTTTAGAGACACACACAGAGAGAAGGGAAATCACGGGTTTTTGTAAGAGGAGGATCTCACATACAGAGACAGACATAAGAGCTCAAAAGAATTTGTTTTTGTTAGGAGTGCTATTTGAGTTTGTTTGCCTCTTTGTAAGAACACTGAAGGGCTGACCTAGTATAGTGATTATAGTTTAAGGTGTGGTGCTTGGAAGCTTCCTGTACCTGATTCTAAACAGAACGTGCAGAAAGAAATCCTTGAAAATGGCAAACACAACATTGACTAAGGTTTCCTGTGCAACTGCAGTTCCTTCATCTGCCTTGACCTGCCATTCAGACACATCCTCCACTTTTCTCCACCTGCACCACCCTTTTAAGCAGAGGTTGGGTGGCCATCTGCCATGGATGCTTTAGTTGGGATTCCTGCATTGCAGGGGGCTGGACTAGCGGACCCTTGAGGTCCCTTCCAACTCTACAGTTCTATTATTCTACTTGCCATGCAAATCATGTACTGTGCTGAGCAAGCTCACTGCAACTCTACCTGTGTATTTCTGCAGTGCTTGTGATGGCAACTGCTACTAAACTGGAGCTCAATTAATCCTGATGGTCTAGACTACAACATCCAATGGGGCAACAGCTCATAGTGTGTTGCAAAACATTTCCGGCTCTATTTTGCCTGCCTGATCATGAAAGAAAAGTTCTGAACTGGAGAAAGCACCCAGATAACAGAAGGGAAAACAAAAGCTAATGTGTCATAATGACTTGTACATTTAATTGAACATACCTTTAGGCGATAATGAGGTTTTTGATAGATTTAATTGTGTCAGCCCCTTTGGTAGTTTGGCAAACTGAATACTTAGTGAGGACACACCTGCAGAAGAACGAAAGACAAAAAAGACTCACACTAGAAATGGGGAGGTGCTTACATTGTAAATATTTATGTTTCAATATTGACGTACAGTGTGGTCCAGTTGACACAACAGTATGTCTGGACCTCAAAAGCTAGGTTCAAAGCACTGCACATACAGTAATGCATAGTTTGGCTTCTGGCAAGTTGTTTTTACAAAATGGAACAGACTTCTATTTGGCATGGCTACTATAAGGCTAAGTGGAGAAAGAAGGGAAGTGCCTTGCACATCCACAGACAAAAGGTATATAATGATGCCTTAGCCATTAATTACGATACACCTACGCTTCACTGTAATTATCAGAATAATCACTTTCCTCCCCTAAGGCTACCCTGGGAGCTGTAGTTTGGGATGGGCTAAAGGTTTGCAACAAAACGTTCTGCACACTGACTAGAATCTTCAAAATTATTTGGGGTGAAACCATAAAAAAGTTAGGTAAAGGTAAAGGTACCCCTGACCGTTAAAAAAAGTTAAACTGATACAAATATGATGGATTTGTACTGCAGATATACCATCAAGAAATGACCCTAAGTGCACTTACTGGGAATACATTAACGGTAAAAATAAAATACATTTCGGCGTCTCTTTTATCCCAGAGGAGAAGATCAGAGCAATTTCCTATATGAAATGAGTATTTTTAACAAAAAGAGTGCACGCTAATATGTATGTGGAATATGTGAGAAAGTTAATGAGAATTCCTACCCTTTGATAATGTGCAAACGAGGTTTTAAATATTTAGATTTAAGGAAGGAACAGGAAACCAGATGATGGGCAAGTATCCAAGCCCACCAAATTACTTAACTGACACTTCCTAGAACTGAAACTGAATCCCTGGGATTGAAACATGATTCAGTGTTATGCGGAACAGTGATAAGCTTATCATTTATTATTTCTGTCCTGACTGGCTGCTCTAGATGCTTACTATACCAATGATAGAAAGGACCTCCTCTTTCGCCCAAATTGTATGAAATGCTAATATTTAAGCTCATATTACCAGATACAAATGTATTATTTACTCAAAACAGTAACACTTCTCCCTAGGGTGAATATTATGGTAATTCTAAAGACTTTGAAAAATACAACATTTGTGGCCTATTAATTCCTACCTCAGTTCCAAACTAATTACCCGCTATTGTTTTTTACTTAAATGCCAGCAATTTTTGTGAAATCAGAACAAAGCTAGGCTTAATTAAATTTATGACCACTATAACTACTAAACATGACTTGCAGTTTAAAGGGACAGTGACTAGATCTTCAGACATTTGTGAACAAAGGGTATTTACGAAGCAATGACATCCGACAAAATGTTGTATTGTTCAGACAAAAGCTGAATGAAACCACACTAATCCTCTTATTGGGTGTGTATTAGGAATGGAGAAAATTTAAGTGCTACAGTACCTCTGTCCTCCAGGGGGTTGCCAGCAAGGTTAATTGTATGAAGTCCTGAGTTGGGATTATGGGATAGGGCATTGGCCAGTTTCTGTGCAAAATCTCTTTAAGAAAAACAACAACCACAAAACAGAGGATTATATTAAGGCTTGCAAAGTTGCATCACACCATATTTAAAAGCTTAATATGAAATGACTACTTAAAAAGAATGAGCATAGAATTAGGGAAGCTGTGTACAACACTGCCACTATGTACCAATTCTCTTTTACATTAAGGGTGGCTTTGCCTATACACTGGGTTATGCATTAGGCTTAGCTTCTGCGTGTAGCGCTTAACTAGCCATGCAAAAGCACAAGCATGCAAGGGAAGGAAAGATGCCATATTTATTGGACAATGTAATACACATTAGTGGGCTTACTAAAAAAAAAGATGTGGTATTTTCTTTTTGCATATCTGCCTCTATGAGAGAAAAATTACGTAATACAGTAAGAGAATTTGTGCAAAGTTACTCTAAGTCACACCTATTCTCACAAAGCAACAATTTTCTAGGTCTGGGTGGTTTCTCCTGCAAACCCTAAATATTTATTTTGAAGCATCACATATCTTCTTTACACTCCTATCATGCACTGCAGTGTTAGGTAGGTAAGAGGCGCAATTTTGTACATTTTAGCAATTCTCGGTATGCCTACTCAGAAGCAGGCCCCACGGAGTTCAGTAGGACTTATTCTCAGGTAAGTGTGTATCAGACTGCAATTTCAAACTCAAAGCTCTTTCTAGCAATATCGGGATTTGCTAAACACTTACGCTATTTAAAGAAAAAATGGACTTACGTTCTAAGACCTGCATTCTCCAGTACTAGCTCTTCCAGTCTGTTAGATCTGCTCACCACTCTTAGGATCTGCTCACAAACATCAGCAGACTGTCAAAGACAACAATGGAGTAATATTATATATCAATGAAATCAAGTCAGTATGAGAATGCAGCAAATAACAACCTGCCTTCATACCCAAAGCAAGTGCCTGAAACTATTTTAATGTGGTTGGGCTCCACAGAGGGGCTCTAATGTTCTCTTAAGTGAATCACCACATACAAAATGTCCACATCAAAGCCAGAAGCCCACAGAAAGGCATGGATTGGTGGACATTTCAGGTGTGAATACGCATACCATGTAGAAAATAGAAAATAATTGGTTCTACTGAGCCTATGGTTAACAACTGGAAGCTGGAAACTTAACTGTCATTGCAACTCTAAGAGATATGACAATATTTTTTGCCAACTGTTCTTTACTAGATTTGTCCCTTCAAGGAAAATACTAAAGGGGTCTCCAAGGTTCAAGGAAACCTCCTCTTAAAAAGATAAATATGTGTTAGCTAAGCCCTAGAAATGAAGTGATAGATTTAAAAGGAAATTTCTGAGTTGGGTGTGATTGGTGCATTCAGTGGGCCTTTATCCATTCTGCCACATCAACACTGAACCTGCTTTCATGATTAGCCATGCAGACTTTTAAAACTAAAGTGAAAGTGAACTGAAGACTGGAAAAATGAGAAACCAAAATTGGCAGATTCGTCCATTGCTAAGCTCTCACAAATGATTTCAAATTAGATTATATATATATTTTTAGTGCATTGACTTTGCAAATTTCAAATAATAAAGGTAACTTTCACTCAAAAGGGTTGCTTAACTTATAGATTGTTTAGGGGGGAAACCCATGTCCCTCTTCATCACCTGAAACAACTTGAGGCATCTAAGATGTTTCAGGATGAACCAGGAGATTCCTGGCATAACCAGGTTATGGTGGCTCAACTCCCTCAATCCTTGGCTCAGCAAGGACCCAGCTGGCTGATCTGAGCCTGTTGGATGTTAAGCCCTGAAAAATAGCATTTCCCCTTTGCTCAGCCAGATGCTAAACAGAATTAACTATACACTGGTTTGCCTTACACTGCTTACTTTATGTCAGCTTCTTGTGTATAGGATTTCTCCTTCCATCAGTGTTCGAAAGTGAACTTTGCATATTTAATTTCACTACATTCTACTGCATGCAGAATTAAAGCAAAACATTTGCAGCTGCAAATCCCTCTTTTCATTTGGATAACCACACCTTCATAAATTCCACAACACTAGTTATTTTATATGAACCAGATAGTCACCCTTCACCCTAATACTTACTAACTTTAGATCCTTGGAGGAAAGCTTTGTAAACCACTGGTTGTATTCCAGGGCAGCAACTATTGGTATTAAATCCCTAGGGGGGAAAGTACCACATATTGAGAAAAATGAAAATTATAAGCAATGCATGAGAGCAATCAACATGGTAAAATGTTTTATCTTTATGAGAAGCTGCAATTGTCAGGTTTACAGGCTACATTCACATGCAGAAAGGATTGACCCTTGATAGGCTAGTAAAAAGGTTGGAAGTCTTTGTCCAGTACCAGAATATGTATTGCAAACATTCTATTTTAGTAAATATTATATTCTCTCTTTTTAGCAATACTTACTGATTATGTAAGCTTGTTTTTGGAATATGCATCATACCTGCTCTTTTGTGTGTGTGTGTGTGTGTGTGTGTGTGTGTGTGTGTGTGTGTGTGATGTTTTAGTATTTCAAGCCAAAGTACCTGAAACGTGCAATAATTACAATTTTAGAGAGCTTTGTAAATGTGTAGATCTGTAATAAAAAGTAGGTGGTAAGAGGGAATGCAAACAATTCTGTTTAGTCTGGTTTTTCAGACTGGGCATATTAGATTGGGCATTTTATAGTCATTAAAAAGTGAGCACCTGTTTAGAATGCGGTTTCAGCTACTGAATTGCATTTGGTTTTTTATCAGCTTGTGTCACATTTAATCAGTGTAGTAATCATAATTGAGTGCTAAAGGCTTTTAGGCAGCTAGATGATTTAACATAATCCTATGACTGAATGAATCCAACAAGCATCTCTTCCAGTCACCTTTTACTCTAAAGATACTGCTGCCTTGTGAAAAGATAATAAAACTTTCCACACGGCCTCTCCTCTAATTGTAAAGGATTTTAAAAGTAAAACCCTAAGATGAAATTCATTCCTTTAATCCTAGACTCCTTAATTTGATATGCTGTCCCTCTGTCAGCTTCTCCATTAAATTAATACCAACAAAGGCATGCTGTTAGATGCTTCCATACTAACTACGGCAAAATCGTATTAAGTGTTACCGCAGCTTTTAGTATGATAGCTCAAAATAGATATTTAACATTCCTGATCCATACAATAGGACCTTAAAGTTCTAGTTCTCTATAAAGCAATTACTCTGAAAGAAAACGATTTGTACTAAAACTGGCCTGTTTTAAGAGTAAATTTTCATCTATTTTCTTCCTGATATTTACTCTCAATCTTTTTATCTGATACAGATGTTTTTATGTATACAACATCTCCTCTAAATGTCTAGCCCAAACCTGTACATGTCTACTCAGAAGTAAGTGTCCAGTGTGTCCAGTGGCGCTTACTCCCATGTAAGTCTGCATATGTTTTGGCTGTAATCCTATGGTTACTTCAGATTGAACACATGTAGGAGGTTTTGTTGTTGTTTTGGTCTATGCCCTACGTAAAACAACTGTTCAGTGTTGTGCCTATTAACAACATTATGTGCTATAAAATACAGAATGTATAGGGTTCCTGGCTCCTTCGGGAGGGAGGCCAGGATATCAAACTATAAACTTATTTATAAATAAATAAATAAGTTTCAAATAGGAAATAGGGTTTCTTTTGTATTGGCTTACACTAAAAGCTAAAACTAAACATGTGAGAAAGGTATACATTAGCTCACTTCAGATGTGACAGTGATTGGCCATTGTGAACAGGATTTGGGCTCATGCAGTCTCTCCTTGCCTTCAATACCTCCCTCCCTGGTTTGAACAAATTGTAGCTTTGCTGTGTTTCCCGCCACCCCAATCAGGCAAATTATGGTTTGTGCATAATGAGATGACAAAGGGTCATGAGCACCCTCAGCCAGTATGAACTGGTGTCTGATCATGGCCACTATGACTAGAATCCAAAGAGCTGCCTTAGGTATGCCTAAAGATTTTCCCAGTGAGACTTCCTTGAGTGTGCCGTGTGCTGACAACAGGCTGACATACAGTTTTAAACCCCCACAAAGCTAACTTTGCACGCATGGCTAACTTGTGAAAAGATTTCTGCACCACAGTCCTGAATTGCATGATATTCTTCCAGTTTGCAATTATTTCCTAGGCACTGAAATGCTGACCAGACGTACAACATCAAACACCATATACATTTTTTTTTTATCATAATCTAATGCCAGTATCCTAACTGTGCCACAGATACAGACATATTAACTGTCCCAAGAACAAATAAACAGTAGCCTGCAGTCTGAACATAAGAACAGCTTTCTGGAGCAGGCCAATGGGCCATTTAGACCAGCAGCCAACTCGCTGCCTAAGGGAAGCCTGCACACAAGACCTGACAACTCCTTCTGTGGTTTCCATCAACTGGTATTCAGAAGTGAGCTGCCTCCAGCCAGGGAGGCAGGGCATAGCCACTGAGCTGCAGGGAGCACCATATGGGTGTGTTTTCTGTGGTAGTGAATTTCACCCTTTAAGTACAAGCAAGTAAGTGTTTTGGGTGGGAGCATAGCAGCAGTTGCATCATCTCAAACACTGCAGATGATTATAGTAAGGTTACCAGATTTTTTTCAATGAATCCGGGGACACTTTTCAACTTCCTACTAAATAGATGGATTTGGTCAGGGGACTGATTTGTAAATCCGGGGACTGTCCCCGGGAAACGGGGACGTCTGGTAACCTTATAGAGGCATCACAGCAAGCTCACAATGTCACCACTAGACCCGAGCATTGCTCTACATTTCAACGGTATGCTGAAAAAGTAAGGTTTACAGATGCATGCAATACTGAGTGCTGTGAAAGTAGCATGGCATATTGCTTTCGATCATGAACAGTTTTGGGAATGTCTCGGGTGCTTACCTGTGGTCGAGATGACTAAAATCTTGTAAATTCAGCTCCCTGGTATCTTGAGTCAGATAAATTGTATCAACATCCTGGTTGGGGGAAAAGCAAAACGAAATATATTTTACAGCTGGGATGGTAGAAAGGTTTGGGTTCGGTTAGGGCTTTTATAAAATAAAATAAATAAAACCCCTCTGCCTTTGCACAGCTAGGTGAAAATAAAACTCTGCCAATGAGATTTCTGTACTTACCCACTGAACTTCTTCCCTATACGGAAAACCAAGCCAGTCACAAACACACGCATACATTTGAGAAAAACCTCCTAGAAACAAAAGAAGCAACACAAACCATTTGACTCCTTTGGGAATTGGTACTTCAAGCTGATGCACTTATATTAAAGACTCGGTATATTTTCCTCTCCTCTGAGCACAAACATGCTGCAGGCACAATATGAAGCTAGCTGAGTCTAGACCACGTTGCCTGTAATGTACAGCAGGGCACAATGACGTACAAAAATAGCACCTTCCCAAGCCAGTCGCAACGGCACTCTACTCTAACTATACCTTAGAGCTAATTATACCTTTACCAAAAAGCCAAGCCTCTCCTAGAAATAGAATTAAGCCTACCATAAATAGAATACTGTTTCCCAGCACTGGCGATTATACTTTTGTACATTTCAGTCTAAAAAAAACAAGCACACTCACCACATGGTCCTAACTCTGCCACGGTTTGGCTGTCCCACAATGTCTGGAGATTAGCCAGTCTTTCTGGCGGCTCCATAATTACTTTTTTCATTATCCTTCTGCATGCAAGAGGAAAATGCACATCTGAATTAGAACACAGGTGAAAATGTAGCCAACCCATATTTGGGTGGAATTCAATGTATGTAGTGCTAAGGAGATTGTTCTGCCAGTGCAAGCATTTCCATGTGTTGCTCTGGATTCTGCTAACATAACCAAGTAGCTGAATTCAGCCTTCTATAAATTTAAAACATTTCTACGCCATCCTCCATAACAATTACAACTATATAAATAATAAGTTAATTAAAACCTGATACAATAAACCACAATTATTGAGGCACATGATTGATTACATGTTTTAATGTGTTTCATTGTTTTTATATTTTTTAACAGTTTTTAAACCTCACACACAGAGAGACACACACACACAGAGACAGATGTGTAAATGCCCTGGTCTCCTCTGGGAGGAAGGGTGGGTAAATAAAACAAATAACCATAATAAAATACAACAGACGACAAAGCAGACTGAGGGATTATGCAAATTCAAACACTTGGGTACATAAAAACATCTTAACTCGGTACTGAAAAGATTGCAAAATAGAAAGCAGGCATACTCCTTTATGGGAGGGCATTCCACAGCCAGGGCACCATCACAGAGAAAGCCTTTCCCCATTGTGATTACATAAGGAAAGCATATGGAATATGGCCTCATGGGAAAGTTAAAACACAGGAGGGATGGAAAGAGGTGCTCCTACAGCTACTTTATTTATTATACTTATCTACATAAGTGCAGAGAAGGGTAAATTGAAGAAGTTAAGCTTTCGGTCCCCCCCCCCAAAATTAATCACACTTCAGATTTATTACATTGGTACTTGCAACAATCAGAGCTTTCCTGGAGTGAAGTGGTTGTTGAACACCTCTCTGCTAGGTCAAAGGGCTGGTTCAACCCACACACTGAACCATCTGAGAAGTGTCCTCAGTCAAGTATATTGTGTCAACGAAGTGATTACAGAAGTAATTCTCTGCAATTCCTGTGATCACAGCAACTTGGAAAGTAGGTAACAGTCACAAAAACTGTTGGTGATGATTTATCGATCAGGTATATGCTCCAGGCTTGTCCACAGTAACCATAGATTGGAGTGGTATCCAAAGTGGGCAAACTATGGTCACTGCTAAAACTGCACTTTTTGTCTCCAAATCATAAGCTGAAACCCACTTCAAGCCATGGATGTCTGAACCCTGATGGGGTCACACATACACATACACATACACATACACAAATATAAAGAGAATCTGGCTGACTAATTGAATATCAAATATATGCTACAGTTTTCCCAATGAGTACCTACACAGGAGACAGACCAGGAAATATCCTCCTAAGGCATGTTCCAACATGTGCCAAAACTTCATGCACATCTTCAGATGAAGTCAACTTCATAGAAATGTTGCATTTTTCAGTTTCTACAATCAGCTGCATAATGAAGTAGGAAAAATAATGTTTCTTGTGTATATCATTTCAATAATAAATATTATGATGAAAATCCAATAACACTACTGTAAAAAACAATCAATCCAAGTAATAATCTATGTTCCTAGAAATGTGTTTGCTTCATCAACCAATAAAACCGCATATTCATGCCAAAACAGCACTGTAACAATACTGTTGGTGTTATCAGATCAAAAAGTCTTGACTGTGGTGGTTACCACCTGGCCATCTTACAAACCTAAAGGTAAAGGTAAAGGGACCCCTGACCATTAGGTCTAGTAGTGGCCGACTCTGGGGTTGTGGCGCTCATCTCGCTTTATTGGCCAAGGCAGCCAGCATACAGCTTCCGGGTCATGTGGCCAGCATGACTAAGCCACTTCTGGTGAACCAGAGCAGCGCATGGAAATGCCGTTTACCTTCCCACCGGAGCGGTACCTATTAATCTACTTGCACTTTTTGTGGCGTGCTTTCAAACTGCTAGGTTGGCAGGAGCAGGGATTGAGCAACGGGAGCTCACCCCATTGCGGGGATTCAAACCGCCAACCTTCTGATGGGCAAGCCCTAGGCTCTGTGGTTTAACCCACAGTGCCACCTGTGTCCCATCTTACAAACCTAGCAAGGAACTAACACAGGATGCTAGACTGAGTAGACTTGAATGGGCTTTGGTTTGATGTACCAGGGCCATTCTTGTGTTAGTTCCTTACAAACCTAGCAAGGAACTAACACAAGATTCTGCTTTCACAAACAACATTTTTTTAATATATTTTATTTTTACCAAGAAGGAATGAAGTGACATTGGATCCCCCCCCAAAAAAAAATCTTGTATGAAAGCAAGCATACATTCAGTACAAAGCCAAGTCAATCTGATTTATTGTATTCCAAGTTACAAACTCATCCCCTGCCAATTCAGTATCTACACCTGCTTGCAAATAAAGAATCCAATTGGTGTCCCTTTGCTGACAGAAGACGCTTTAGTCCTAAGAGTCCTTCTAGTATAATAGCAATCAAGGCAATCTTTGCAATTCCCTACCCCCTGCCTGCCCACCATAATCTTCCCTTCCCTTCCTCATGCTGTTCTCCAAAAGATCCCAGAACCCTCTGGAGCAGATTTTTGGAACATATGGTAGGGGAAGTGAACAGCCCAAGATTGCTTCAATTCCTATTCCATCAGCAAAAGGCTCTGCTGGAAACCTCCACTTATGTCAGCAGAGGAACACCAATTGGTAATAAGCTATTACCAACATAATTCAGACAAGGCTGGTATTCCATGCACATTTCTTTCTCCATTGGTTTCACCTAAATTAGCATTGGAAAGTGGGGGTGGGGGAGCACAGCTGCCTAATTAGAACATTTCTAATCGGCTATATAGGATTACTGCATCGTTAAATACATTCATAACTGAAATATTCACCTGGCCTGGTTTATTGCAGGTGATTCCTTGGATTTCCAAGTAGCTGAAAGTTAGTTCTAGCTGTAATTCAAACAGAAAATTACTTCGCTTTATATCGAAACACAGCAGTAAAAGCACAACAAGCAAAGATTAAACTATTCTACATAGAATGAGCGCCCAGCCAAGTATCCATTAATAAAGCACATGTCCTTAGCTAGTGCCCTCCCATTGTTTTGGACTACAACTCCCATCAGCCCCAGCCAGCACAGTAATAGGGTAGTTATGAACTTTAAGCTTAAAGGCTCAACTCATCTAAGGAGGTTTCTAGTTAGCTAAGTATGGCAGATCTTCTATTTTCCAAGAACCAAGCCATGGACCCCCCACTTTTGAAAATTTTGATCTCTCTGTTGTAGTTTTTGTTATGTGAATGGTTCCATGGAACCCCTGGGTGGGCTACACAAACCCCCAATTGGGAACCAGTAGTCTAAGGAGCAAAACACATGCAAGATAATGAGCCTGAAGATGAACTTGATAATGAATCATTCGGAGTTCTACCCCAAATGAATTTAATTCACAATTAGTTCACTCTGAAATTATGGGAACTACTTTCATGCATAGTTCTAAGATTTTTGAACTAATTTGTTAAACCAGATTTGTTCATTGCAAGCACTGGTTAAGCAAGTTCAAAGTTTATTTATGAACAGCGTTGAGTGTTTATTCCTTTAAAAAGGGATACAGTTTCTATCTTACAGCAAAGAGGGGATGGGAAACAGCATCTCTCCTCCATGCCTCAGCAGAAAACTTGCTGCAAGTATATTAATTTGCAGATTGAAAGAACAAATTTGCATTGATCGTATGTTTCTGTGTGGCTCAGCTTTTCTTTTTTGGGGGAAAGAGATCTGGTATTTTTTCAACAGTGCTAAATGTATTTGACTATATTCTTATACTTCCTAATGTAACACATTTTATTTGGCATGTTTACGAGAATTCAAATTTGGGTAAAATTACTATACTATTACTATAATATTAATATTACTATACTAATATTTCTATACTACAATTAAACCGTGACTAAAATATGCATGCATGCATGCATATATATATATATATATATATATATACACACACACACACACACACACACACACTCTCAGGAAAGAGAAAATCAAGCTTCACTCATGTTTTATTTTGTGAGTCTTTCTGAATTTGTTTTGTATAAAAGCAGAAACAAGGACATCTGCCAACATCATGTTAGCCAGAGTCCATATGGAATGAACGATTATCTCCAGATACAAATTCATCATCTGCAAAGAGCACTGGAGTCTTTCCTCTGCCAAGACAATCAGTTCCAATTGTCAGGAGAATCAAAGCATTTCATGGAATATGCTGTTAGACAAGTCATAAGATGCAATTTCAGTCTCTAGAGAACAGCAGACACGATTCCACTGATAATAAATAATGTGGCACAGCAGGCTGTATAACATTCATGTTTTTAAGCTGCAGATACAACTAAGATTGCCAGTGAATTCTGGGGGGCGGAATTCAACCCAGCAGCAGGTTTTGGCCCAAACAGATCAAACCCATGGTACTGTTGAGAAAGGGATACCCACCAAATTATTTGGTGAGTCTCTATATAGTGCTCCGCTGCTGTGTCAAGATGGTGCAGGATGGGGAGGTCCCAGCACTCATGGTGAAGATGGCAGCAGCAACAAGCCCGGGCATTGTACTAATGACATCAGACGTGTGTACCAAGGTCTCAAAAGCATCAAGTTTTCAGAAGTTGTCGCCTCACAAATTTTATTGAAAAATGTACCCAAAGAGAGGATTGTTTGATGGAATTATCTTAATACTTGCAGAGTAGTTTAACCAGCTATAAGTGGTATTCATTATAGTACTCACCTGCAGACATAGCACTAGACAATGGGCCTGTTCATAAATTGCATAAATATATGTAGATGAGCTGTGGAGGAACTTCAACTCTTGTTTGAGACACAACCCCATGCCACATCCAGTTGAAAAATGTGAATCCAAAGAGTATTTAATACAAATATTCACATTTCGATTCATGGTAATCAAGTGTAGAAAACTAATATATACAACCATTGTAGAGGCTAGTTTTTCATGTATCTGGATTTAAAATAACAATATGTGTTTGTGAAACAGCGGTTATTGGATTGCTTTTGTTTTATTATGCATTTTTGTGTTCTCATTTTGTACTTTTACGCTGTGAACCATCCTGCGATCTTTGGATGAAGGGCAGTACAGTCGTACTTTGGTTCTCGAATTTAATCTGTTCCAGGAGTTCGGTTTCCAATTGGCTACAAGAGCTTCCAGCATCCAATCAGAAGCCGCAGAAGGTGAGTAGGATGTTTGGCTTCCAAAAAATGTTCGCAAACTGGAACACTCACTTCCGGGTTTGGGAGCCGATTTGTTCAACAACTAAGGTGTTCAACTACCAAGGTACCACTGTATAAAAATTTAATAACTATTACTACTACTACTACTACTACAGATGATCCTTTAAGAGATCTACTTTGCCAATAGTTTAGAGTGCTAATACAAAGAGTTCAAAAATATTGTAATGGCATGCTAAATTGGCTTCCAGGATACTCAGACAGCTACTTCACAAGTTCAACAAGGACAGACAAAAAAAAGAAAAGGAAACGAAATCCATCTTTTAAAAAAGTTTGGTAAACTAGGCCCTATGTAAAATTGAAAGAACCCATAAAAAAGCACAGCAATACAAAGCTTTTCCTGCTAAATGAAATGTAATAGGGCTGTGATCTCTTAGGACTCCATTTCCCAACAGCCACTGCTACTCTGTCTGTATTCTCTGACCTCTAGGGCGGAGGGCTGAGTTTCTGGGGAAAGGAGGGGAAGCAGGGAGAGAAAGAGAAAAAGTAGGTAAAGTGGTAGAGCCTGAGAGTGGGTCTGTGGGGGCTGGTGAAGCACCACTGGAGATTCAGCAGTGGGAGGAAAACAGCAAATCTAGCAGTTTCGAAACAAAGGTAGCCCTGGCTTTGTTGCTGGGCAAAAGGACTCTGTAAAAAAATCCTTGAAGCAAGTCCTTAAAAGTCTGAAGTTGTGCAGGCAGTTGTGTTCCGTTGAATTGATAAACACTGAAGCTCCCACATGAACAACATTAACTTAAAAAGTGAAATTTACCATGCTACTGGACTGAAAAATGCCTTACCTTGGTAGGAATACGAGAAGTTAACAGAAAGGCCCGACATGATGTTAGCACCTACAAAGGAAAGAGCAAAAGTTGAAGTCAATGTTTAGCTGTTTTAAAATAAACGTCTACAGCATGATATAAACTCTTGTTACCAACAGGTAATTTTATAAACCCATCTTTGCTCAGGATGCAAGTCTCAGTGAATTCATTGTTATTGGCATCCAGATGAACATGCACAGGTGAGCAGCCGTTTATCTGACGGTTTGTAAGTACTGTAAAATATATACTTCCATCACTGATATTTTCAATTGACTAAATCTTATACATGCTTGGAATGATAACAGACCCCACCACCAGACCTTCTTTGAGTCTAACTGGACATTACTGGGAGCAAGTGGTTGCAAATGACCCACATCTTCCCTGAAAGATATGATGACTTCACTGTGCTCTGGGCATCATTTTCATGATGCAGGGAAACAATGAAAGTGTTGATGTCATATGACAAGTTTCTTAGATGCTACTGGGAATATTCAACAGGTACATTAAAGTTTGTCACAGCGGCATGCTCCCACAGCATGTTGAAAGCTATTAGTGCATTTTGTTTTCAAACTGCAAAAAGAATTTGTCACTCCACATTTACCAACAACTTGAAATACTTTTTTTCTGCTAATCTCTAAGGAGAATTAGGTTTCCATGAGACCCCAGGATTATCAAAACATTTGCAGAATCTTCAAAGTGAACAACAGGATTGTAGTATCAACATTTCCAAGATGAAAAGATTAACTACAATCCCATCAGTAAGTGCTATTCATTATGGTAACGTATTAAAAACAGATTAACTATTTTTTTAAAGAGAAGAATTCATGTCATCCACAAGGAACTGAGGATGGTACAAAGACTCTGTCACATGTTACTTATGAGAAGGAAAGTTCCATGCATTGAAAGGGATCAGAGCAAGACCACTGAACTTGCCCTCAGTCATGTGCACATTGATGTCCGCAATAAGGCAGCCATGAATGCATCTTATCGTGCCAAACATATCAGGGGGTAGTCAGTTGCATAGCCTTGCCTCTCCAACACAGTCTCCACCTTCAGGTGAGTAACAATTGAAATGAGTTTTAGACACAGCATCCTCTGCTATACAAAGTAACTCTCCCACAATCCTCTGTGCTCATACATGAGAAGATGTACCCAATTAAGATGAGGGACGCGGGTGGCGCTGTGGGTAAAAGCCTCAGCGCCTAGGGCTTGCCGATCGAAAGGTCGGCGGTTCGAATCCCCGCGGCGGGTGCGCTCCTGTTGCTCGGTCCCAGCGCCTGCCAACCTAGCAGTTCGAAAGCACTCTCGGGTGCAAGTAGATAAATAGGGACCGCTTACTAGCGGGAAGGTAAACGGCGTTTCCGTGTGCGGCTCTGGCTCACCAGAGCAGCGATGTCACGCTGGCCACGTGACCCGGAAGTGTCTCCGGACAGCGCTGGCCCCCGGCCTCTTGAGTGAGATGGGCGCACAACCCCAGAGTCTGGCAAGACTGGCCCGTACGGGCAGGGGTACCTTTACCTTTACCTTTACCCAATTAAGACCCAGTCCCAGCACCAACTCTTCTTGCTGCAAGATAAACCCCTTAATAATAGCTGCTATAAAGTTCCCATTCTGCAAGAATTCAAGGCTACAATAGCTAAAACTGAGGAGGGAACATTCTGCTCCACTCTGACAATGTCATGCTCTCTCCAGCAGGGGGAACAAACCCATCAGACATAAACAAGGAAGAATCACAGTGGCCCAGGCCATCCCCCCTTTCAAGCAGGGATGGATAATTTATCCACTAAGAAATCCACAAGGTGCATATGTGGAGCTCAGTGACAGAAGGTTGTTATACCATACCTCTAAACTACTTTAATTAACTTTCAATGAAAAATATAGTTCTGCAGTGAAGCTATTGGAAAACTGATTATGGAGTGATTTAACACACATGCTTTACATTCATGGGATGAGCCTCAGGATTATTCCATTGTCACAAGGTTGCATAAACTGCTGACACTGGACCTGTTCCCAGATGGCTCTATTAACAGCAACACACTGCCTTCCACAGAATTAAGTGAGTCTGAGAGCACTATGAAAACAACCATTTTAGGTTGTCATGAACGGATGGACAGTATGTGGTTTTTTTTAATTGATTCATGGAAAACCATTGTAGAACCTTTAATGCTAAAGAATCTTCATTCTGTTCTATTACAAAATTTGGCTTGGTCACTTTCAGAGCCATTTAAATATGTTAATTTTAGCCAACTATTAAGGGATCACACAGGAAACAGCATCAAGGGGCCTAACTTGCACTTTATTAAGTCATATCTTATCAAGTATTTCTTGTAATCAATCATACCTACTCACATAAAATTCAGGCCACCTGTGGTCAACTAAGATAAGAAGGGATAGATAGATAGATAGATAGATAGATAGATAGATGATAGATGATAGATCTAGATCTAGATATATGTCAACAGAGGCACAGAAAGAGAGTCTACTCATCATTAAAGGCCAGGAATAGCTCAGTTGGTGGAGCATGAGACTCTTAATCTCAGGGCTGTGGGTTCAAGCCCCACCTTTGGCAAAAGATCCCTAAATTGCAGGGAGTAGGACTAGATGACCCTTGGGGCCTCTTCCAACTCTGCAATTCTACGATCTATGATCATAATGTAAAAAATAATTGATTGTTCATCTCTTGTATTACACACACTACCTTTTTCCTAGATGCTATGATTTTTGTTGTCTGTATTCACCAATGTTTTGAAGCTTGTCTCAAATCCCCAAATTAAAAGCATACCCTAGCTACTGTAGCTTTATCCATCCATGATTAAGATAAGCAGCAATGTAACTTTTAACAGTGGGTAGGCGTAGGTATGATTTCATGCAAGAAAGGGGGCGAGCATATGATCTTGCTTGTGATTCCTTAACTGTGATTAAAGTATTAGGATCTCCACAGACACCAAGGACTTCTAGCTTCAGACACATCTGAAGCAATGAGTCAACTGCTTTAGCAGTGTATCTGAAGAAGTGTGCATGCACACGAAAGCTCATACCAAGAACTAACTTAGTTGGTCTTTAAGGTGCTACTGGAAGGAATTTTTTTTTTGCTTTAGCAGAGGCAAACCACCAAATTCCCCATCTAATTCCCAGCAGCATCTTTGTATCTCCTTCAATGTAGGACAAGCAATTTACTATTGCAGTAACTGTTTTTCACAAAAGTTATCAACATTATTCTGCGCACAGCTGTAATTTGTTTCATAGCTAAACAAGGATCTGCTACTGCTTAACAAGGATAACATGTGACTTCTTTCATGATGTGCAGTATTTGAGCACCTGAGATTAAACCTAACTGAAACGCAACAAAAACGGTTTACTGTATAAATGCATCATGGCCAAGTATCTATCAATGTATACAATGTTCTGCAATAATTTGAATTGATAGGTCTTTTAACTAATTTTAAATATTTTGTTCATGTGTGTATTTAAACAACAGAATAGGGAGAAATTAATGCAGTAACGTCCTTAGATGCTCCCAGGGGTATTTGGAAGGTGACTTGGATAGGTACCAGCAAGCACATAACAACGAACTGTGACCTGCATGCACAATGGCATATTTTATTGATGCCAACCTTATATGAGGCAACAAATGTCAGTCAGGCAGCTGCTTAACATCACACAATGAAACTTCAAACTGCCCTTGAGGTACAAGACCAATGGTAACCATTAAAAAATTGCATTGGTGAATTAGATGTGTATTTTTCTAAACAACATCAACTCTAAACTGTCTGTCTTCCAGCCTCTGAAAAACTGTGGTGTGTTAATTATTTTAATGTGTTTTTCCTTTTTTCATGAGCCGTTACTTGTTCATTTTAAAAATATATTATGGCTTTGGAGTGCATTTGCATGTAGAACCAGTATGGTGCAGTGGGTTAGTGTGTTGGAGTAGGACTTGGGCGACCAGGGTTCAAATCTCTACTCAATCATGAAACTTGATGGCTGACCTTGGGCCACTTACAGTCTTTCAAACTTATCTCCCTCCTTCACACAGTTGTTATGCATGGAGAGAAAACAGAGGAAGGGGGAGAGACAGTTTGAGCATATAGCGCCAATCCTGGCCCGAATGCACTGGCTGCCAATTAGTTTCCGGACCCAATGCATAGTGCTGGTTTTGACCTATAAAGCCTTTAACAGCTCAGGACCTCAATACCTCATATGCCTCTCCTCATATGAACTGAACCAGACCCTGTGATCATAATCTGAGCCCCTTCTTCGTGTGTCTCCTCCAGAAGACATCTGGAGGATAGCAACTGACTGTTGTTGGGAACAGATAATTGCTAGAACCCCAGTGCTTAAAAACTTGCACTCGCTGCCTATGCTTGCACTGGTCCAAGTTCAAGGTCCTTGTATTAATTTGCAAGGCTCTTAACTAAAGTCCAGGATTCCTCAAGTACTGCCTAATCTCTCATATCCCTGCCCGATCAGTGAAGTCTGTGGGGGAGTCACTGTTAGTGGTCCTTTGTGGTTCAGGTACACGATCCACCAGTGATCAGTACTGTGGGCCCAATTTTATGGAAATCCCTTCCAGTTGAGGTCAGACAGGCCTTCTCCCTGTTGAACTCCTGACACTCAATGAAGACTTTTCTTTTTTTATTCTAGCAGGCATTTTTCACTGGTCTGATTTTATAGCAACAACTGATTTTTTACCTTTTCTGTATTTTAGTCTCCATACACTGCTCACAATCGTAGTATATAAATTGTTTAATTAATTAAAAATTCATTGCCTATAGGGATATCACAGGCAGCATGAATAGGAGTTTATAGTGCAATTCAGAACCAGTAAAATCACTGGGAAATTGGAAAAGGGCTTGTGCTGTGTTTTGCACTACCACCCCTTCCCCCTGCATTTCATGAACTCTCAGTTTAGATCTTAAAAATATATTGCATGCTTACATTTTTCAATTTTCTAGAAAATAAAAAACTTAATTATTAGTTTCATTCCTGTTGTGAAAAAATCCTGCAAATGTTTTACTAAAGGCAATGCATAT